TACTTGATAAACTGAAAACATTTGTTTCCTGTGAATTAAGGATTCTAAACCCCATGCGCTAGTATTGCAGAAGGTTTTGTGAAGAACTGGTGTTATGGCCCCTTTAAAACAATTCGCTCGGGGAACTTATCATGTGTGATTCTTAGTTTGTCGTTCTGAATTCTATCACCAGTTTGTATACAGCAAAAAGATAAGAACGTGGATATGTAAATGTCTTAAATCACTTGGTCTTGTCACTCTCCTGCTTCTTCCTTGTTGAGAACAGGGACAGCTAACTTAGATGTCTTCATGACTTTTTTGTTCTGGCCACTTTCTAGTGAAAATACATTGTTAATTAATAGTGTTAATTTTTGCAAGAAGAGTTTGAGGACTTTTTACAGCTGCGACTGAAGTGTGAACAAAGGAGCAGATGTTTGCAAGTGAGAGAGTCACTGGAGATTCAGAAGTGACTGGCACAAAGACACAAGACATGCACAGACCCTTGTTACTGTTATGATGCTCTTGTCTCTCCTGATCTGTTCATTCACTGGTTTCTGTCCCCATGTTCTCATCTCTGTGGTTCATACGAGTTTGTCTACTTCAGGTGGATATAGCGCTCGCTTATTTTGTACTGGAAGCAGCACAGAGCTCATAGATGGATCAGACACATGCAGAGAACTCATTTCATAGCTGCTGCAAACATCTAAGTCTTTTTTTCTTACTCTCCCGTGTTATCTCACTCCTAACAAAAAAGGGACAACTGTTGGGATACGTGTACAGTCACATACCCTTCGGAGCTGTTCCTAAACAGAAGTGCTCCCTAAAAGCCTGTTTTTCTGTGCCACCGAGTTATTAACAGCAAATATGGGAATTACCTGGCAGCACCTGTGCTAGGGAAGGTCAGAGTTCTATACATGTCTGATATTCACCGAATAGTTTCTCAAAACGGGTTCATGGATGGGATTGAAATTGGTATCAAACGCTTTTCAGCGTTCTGCACTCTTGCAGAATGCGGGTGTTTTGAGACAGGCAAGGAATACTTTAAAGTACATCATTCTATATTGTATACTTGGCAGGATGTTCTGCGATTCACAGCAAATATTGGGAAATGACAAAGCAATAAAAGGTAAAGTGTAAAAGAAGCATCGGGTGGGGCTGAGTCTACGTTCCAGGAATATTAGGAATTTGTGGAGGAGAAAGGGATGATTGGCTGTATGGCTGTGTTGAAATATGTTGAGTGCTTCTTCAAGGCTTTGTTGGCATGTTTTCTGGTTAGTAAATAGAAGAGAGTGGGTTAGGCAATGTTAGAAGGCAGCAAAGCTAGCAATTTTCACATTACTCTCCTCTTTCAGCTCCCAACAAAGAGATGAAGATGTGACTCTAGCTGAATTAGGATATTAATGGGCTTTGTGCCCTTCACATTACATCTACTATCTTGCCATAAATCCTTCTGAATTTATTTTGAGATTATTGTCCTTTTTAAAAAATGATTAACACAAAATAGAGATGCATGTTTTTTAAGTCTTTAAATATTCTTATTCCCTACCAAAAGATGTTTTGTGTTCCGCATCAGAATGCTTTGACCTCTGCCAAATCAGCATAAGTGAACTAGTTATAATCCCTGTGCATTTGCAATTACCAAAGTGGTTTGGATGGCTTTACTTAGTATTAAATCCTGACATCATCTTTAAGTACAGAAATCAAACTTGTTGCAATTAAGATTGAATCAATAATGTTCTCACATTTTACATCTTTTCCAGTAGTCATAATAAACCAAAATTGTGTGATTCATTGTCTACCTTAAGTATTTGTTCTTTCCGATATTGCCAGGCTACTGATGTGCAAACAGAAGTGTAAATAGACGCTTGCGGATGGGGGATTGTTTGGGCTTGAACAATAGCACTGAATCATTTGAGCAGGTCTCCTTGCTCCGTACCGGGGACTTTACAAATCCTGCTCAGAAGTGCAGCTCCAGATCACAAGGAGCTTGTTTGGACTCAATGAAGCTTGTGATTTTTCTGCTCTAAACATGTCACATCCTAACTGTCACTTTTAAACTAGCACTTGAAAGTTCACAGGTCCATTATGAGCTATGAAAAATATTCAGATTCACAGTAAAAGGTGTTTCTCTTCTAGTATCCTCTGTAATCCGCTGAATTTTATTAGGTTTCATTTAGTACACATGTGAAAGGAGGAGAATGGAGAGGGGACTTTTACAGCACTTAAGCTATTGTTTCTAGAAAGTTGTTCAGGCTTTCTTCCAAATAAAAAAAGCAGGTTGTTACGCTTATGAAGTTCCAAATGTTCTTGTATTATTATATGAGTATTTTGCAGCTATAGAATAAAAGCTCGAATATATAGGATTCTGCAACTGATCACATTTGTGTCAGTTCCCATGTGTTAGGGAGTGTGTGTCTATATGCATGTGTATGTTGGGAAAAAGAGAGCACAGATGAGTAGGGAATTGTTACAAACCTGCTAGTCACTCCCATTAAACTGCTGATTTTTGTCTGCATCTCTATATTAGCCCATAAAAAGCTTCTTTAACTATTATAAATTGTTATTCAAGTGATTTACTGAGTTTGAGGATGCTGCCCAAAGATCGCAAGCATGGCATCTTTTCTGAGATAACCATTTGACAATTAAAAAAAAAAAAAAAAAAAAAGCCCAGAACAGCAGCAAAGGTCTGCAGAGATGTGGGTGTACCATGCCATACACATGAAATGTGTATGGATAATCGCTGCCCAGGTTTTATGGAAAAGTGATGGTGTTAACGAGCACTGCAGTTCCTAGGAAAGCTGCTTGTAGAGATTCCCTTGGGGCAGCAGATTTCCCAGATACTGGAACTGAAATGACGATCCACAAACTCATGGTGTTTGCGAGTTCCAGAGAAGCAGGATTTTCATACTAATAATTTTTATCTTGCTCTGATAAGCTCAAGAAATGTGCCAAGGCTTTGGCCACACCATCATTGTCCATGCTAACTCCTGCATGTGGCTGTGAAGAGCCTGGATCGCAGGTTCATGCAGTGCCCTCCCAACATTCCAGTTGGGTCAGGTTGTCTGGGGCCACGTGCAGTCGAGCTCTGACCGTCTCCAGAGATGGATGGAGATTTGCAGTTTCACTGGGCCCTTTCCCCATTGTTGTTAAAGAATTAAATTTTTTTTTGATGTCTGGTCATAATTTCCTTTGTTGCAACTTGTGTCTGTAGACTCTCATCCTTCTGCCGTACACCTATGAGAAGAGTATCTGGCTCTGCCATGTCATCTACTCACTAGGTAGTTGAAGGCAGGAATGGGACCCCCATCATTTGCTGTCTCTTCTTTGGAGGCTGCATAAGCATGGGTCTCAGCCTCTCCTTGGGCACTCGAGCCCCCTGACCATCTTGGGGGTCCTTCACTGGCCTCGCTCAAGTTTGTCAATGTCCTTCTTGTGCTGGGGAGCCAGAACTGGGCACAGTGCTCTACCTGTGGTCTGGGAAATGTCAAATAAAGGAGAAAATAATTTCCCTAGATCTGCTGTCTTTGCTTTTTTACTAATGGAGTCCAGTATGCAGTTATCCTTCACCAGTCACGACAATCACTCACTTCGAACCTGTCCACCAGGACCCCAGGTCCTTTTCTGCAAAGCTACTTTCTGTCTGGTCCATGTCCAGTTTGTGCTTGTGCTTTTGTCTGTCCAAGGGCAGGACTTCATATTTGACTTTGAGTTTCATGAGGCTGCCCCATTTTTCCAGCCTGTCGAGACCCCTCAAAGTGGCAACCTTACCCTCCAGCTTATCAGCCATGCTCCTTGGTTTCATGTCATCCGCAAACTTGTTGGGGAATGAGACTTTTTCTGTCTCTTCCTTCTGCGTCATCCCTGAAGTTTAACCAAATCCAGATGGGTAGTTTGAAGAGGAGTAACATGCTTTTAGGCTAAGACGTGGCTAATTGAAATACCGCTCTGTCCGCACTTCATCATAAGCTTAGTGGCAGGTCTAAGGTAGGAGGGAAGTATTTTTACTAATGGGCTAATTCTGCTCAATATCTGCTGCTATCTGCTCTAGAGACAGAATGCTGAACTAGTTGCAGCTACAGACTGTTGTACTATAACTGCTATTAGAGCATGCTCCTCATGTTCTTGTTGTTTGGTTTTTTCGGGTGAGTTAATTTAGTATCCGTTCAAGGCTAAATTCTAAAATTCTTGCTTTATCTTCACTCTTTAGTCAAGAAAATCCTGCTCCTGTGTGGTTTAAAAAATGGCATAATGCTGCAGTATTTTACTTTAATGTCAAAATTAATCAAATCTTGGAAAACTTTGCCTTCTGTTGTTTGTGTAAATGCACATATGCAAACACTAGTTTGTGTTTCATCAGTTATCTGTCTGCTCAGTTTGTAGTGAAATTTTTACATAAAATCTTTTAGCTCTTCTATATACTTAAGTAAGTGGAAACAGTACGGGTGTCTGGCGGGTTGAGAGAGAGAAAACCGCAGATTTTCAAGGCTACTTAAATATGAATGCTTCAGTACATCGAATGCAATACGTAGGTACTTGAGGGGAAGCCCACTACGTAGTTTTTCAGCGTGAGCAAGTGGTTGCTGAAGGAGGAAATGTCTACTGAAATGGGGAAAACACAATGCCCCCTATCGTCACCAGCTAATTCTCAGACTCTTTTCTTTTTTCCCCCCTTTTTTCCTTCTCTTGCCAAGAAATATAGTCATTCTATGAGACCACACAGTAAACACATCCTGAGACAGCAGTGCAGAAGAGAAGTTAACTGAGCACTTCTCCGGAGGAGGAGGAGACCTAGGTAGGGCTGAAGAGGGCTGTGGGAAAGCTGAGAAGGGGTGGGAGCCCTGCACCAGGGCTCATTGGCAGAAGAAGGCAGGAACAGGATACGTTTCAGCTTGGGAGGAGCAAGTGTTTGGATTAAAGTGTCTTGATAGAATTGTTCCTTTTCTTTCTCAGACACAGACAGTGAGTTTCATGGGGTGGATTTTCTGCCAGAAGATCTCAACGAGGCTCCACAGGAGACAGGAATGAAGGTGAACAAGAAATACTCCTGTCTACCTGCTGAGGAGAAGGGGATCCACATTATCAACATCCGAGCTATTGAAGATATAGGATACGACCAGCATGAGAGTACTGTGAGTAAAGGACTGGCTGGATGTGTCCTAACTGGTGTGCTGTGCTTAACACCTTGGCTTATTTCTCATTCTTTTCATTCCCAGAATGCTCTAAAATCCTCTCCCTCTCTTTTTCAGAAGTGCTGAGGAGCACTGCCAGCAGCCACAGTACACGTAATTTAGTGGGGTTTGTTCTTTGATGTGAAGAAGGGAAGCAAGGGATCCTTGTTTAACCTGGAGCCTAAAAAGGGGTTGGCCGTTCTCAGAGTAAGCAATCTGGCAAGAAGGCTGTGGCAACCTTTAAATCTCTTTGCCCATGTAGAGTAGAACAGAGAAAAAAGTCTAAAATTTCATGCAAAAGCCATTGTTAACTTAGGTAACGTTAAACTAATTGTAGCACACAATAGAGGTTAGGTTTTCAGTGTCAGTAATTGTGCCTTGGTTAAATTCTTTAACACCGATTTTAAAGAAAGTTAGTAACATGAATACCCAACAGGATTAGGAGTTGGTTATGTCATAAATGCATAAAAAGGAGTTCAGGTGAAGGAATCAAGGTGGAGTGGGCTGTATAACAGATCTCACTGGGGAAGGATGTGAAGCAATACTTGATTCGTTGTGCTTCTGCTTAATTAGGATTGAGTGTGGAGGAATCATTCCGTCAGAGTGTAAACATCCCTCCTGCTGTGATAAAACTGAAATGTCTTTTCTGTGGCTCATTTGCTACCAAAGAGACACGAGTCCTACGTGTTCTAAGTCAACGTAACTCCCTCTCTGGGTCAGTGTAGCAGCACTGCGAGAGAGGATGTGGCTTATGGGTACTTTTCAGCACTAATACCACATCCTTAAGAGATGACCATTTCTTTCTTTGAAACAGAACCAACAGCCTTCTTTGAGTGTTTCAGCTGCATCCCTTTCACAGTAGGATATAGCTGTTTTTATTTATTAATAAATTTATTGAGGCTTTAGTATCCACAGTGCAGCACCTTCTCCTAAATTCTCAGAGTCAGCTTTTCAATGGGAAAGTTTAAAAAAATGGGAAGAAGCTCTCATTCAGTGTCTGCAGTGTGACCCATCCCCTTCCTGGTGGCAGTAGCTCAAAGAAACAGAGAAATTAGGGATTTTCAGTGACACTTTTCCGCACCCAAGGCATGCCCAGGAGAAGAGGAGCTGTGGCCAGGATGTACTGGTCCCTCCTGAGCTCCCCAGGCAGTTAGAAACATCTGGCACACTCCCTGCTATTATCTTCAAGAGCCATCTTAAGTCCTTCCTGTTTCCTTTATTAGTCTCCAGAACAGACCAAATCATTGCTGTTCCTCATAAAGTCAGCCTAACGAGGGGAGGAAGTGGCTGGGGTCTGAGTCTTTTGCCTGTTTCATCTCCCTGTGCTTACCTGAATATCTGTTGGTTCAGCCCAGTTTTTCAGAAATTGGTTTAATTAATTAATAAGATCATCACATCTTTAAAAATTAAATACAATTAGTTATCTTAAAACAAACCTCAGTGTTACTGTAGCTTGTTTACAACAACTATTTCCTTTGAAGAGGCATTATATCCTGCAAATACAGTTAGTTACTGTAGAAATTTGCATCACTGAGTTGCCTGCCACAAGCAGACCGTCAGCTTGCTTTTAAACAGTGTTCTGAATTCACAGGTGCATGCCATTAAACAGGAAGCAATCAGAAATTTAATCGTTATTATTGGTTTTCTATATTGTAAGAACTAGACAGGAATATCTAGATAGGGCACAAACATGAGCATCCTATGCCCTGAAGAGTATGGTATTGTCATGGCGAAATAAGACAGACGTGGAGCAGGGGAAAGAGGGAACAGGACAAAGAGTGAACTCCATGGTGGCAGCGAATGCTGTATGATTTTATGATAGATATTTACATATTTGGAGCAACGAGTTTAGGTTAAATGGAAAGGAGAGATGGAATCCTGAAAAGGAGAGAGAAACAGATAGCAAAGGCAGGCATGGAGCAAAGCTGTGAGGGACGGAGGAGATGGAGACCTGCAGCCAAGCTGGCCCTGGGCAGACATGGTCAAGTCAAGCTTTGGAAAGCCACAAATGTCCGGCATCCCCACCTCGGCCAGCAGCTGCTCCACGTCCTGCCTGGCACCTCAGGCTCCTTGCTGTCTGCCAGTCTTCCTTGCTGCGTGTTATTGCTTTGTGCTCATCTGATTACTAATTACTTCTTCAGTGCGCTTCCTCATCCCTCCAAACCCAGGCGGATGGGGTTTGCTGCTTGAATTCAGTATCTTGAGTAAAAATCTCCCCAAGGCAAAAAGGGAAGAACAGACTGTCCCTTGAAGGCACTGATTTATAGTGATGGTAGCTCCCCAAAGCAACGTTCAGAGACGTATGCAAATGTGTGTAACATTGGGTGGGTTTTGATGAAGTTTTGGCTCTGTTGGCTGTGATATACTGTACAGTCAGCTCAGAGGTTGCTCTTTTCTTCTGGGGTTTAAAAATTGGACTGTCTTAGAAACAACTGCCTGCAAATAACTTCCATTCATGGTTTTATGTTTGAAACAAGCAGAAGGTGTACATATCCCAGAAGGTTTTTAACCAATATGATTTGCAACTGATGGCCAATTGCTGCCATTTAGAGCACAAGTCCTTTTCTCTAAATGGAGGCTTAACACTCTTCTGTAAAATTAAAAGCCAGAAAATGTCTCTGGCCCCTGAAAAAACCCTCCTGTGATTAGTATATTTTGTAAAAAAAAAAAAAAAAAAAAAAAAAAAAAAAATTTTCTAGAATTTTTTTTTTTTTTTTTTTTTTTTTTAATGGTGTGTGCATCTCCAAGAGTAGAATTGTGAATTATGCATGAGCAGTGCTATTGAAAGTAGAAATGAATAATTGCTGGTATTTTTTAATGTTTCTATAGTTGCCCTGTGCAGTTTTCAGATAAATGCTTGGAAGTGGAATTGTGTTTTAAGTCTTATGTTTCTTTCATCTTGCAACACTTACACAGCGTTAATTCAAGATGGGAATAAAGCCTTTGCCACCATAGCATTGCAAAGCGACACAAGTTTTTTAAGTGGGGGGAAAAAAGTTATGAACTCAGTAAGCAATGAACCCACTTCCCTGGCTACGGTCCATCTGCATTTTTGGCTGTGCTCCATGACCAGCTGGCTCCCTTCAGTCTGTATCTAAGATGATCCCTTTCTCAGATGATCCAAACTTGCAGCGCTAGATAAGAGAAGTGAGAAATGTTTGTACATGATATTCATCTATTTGTCAGAATTGAAACACAGATGACTTGGGTGGAAAAGGACAGATGATCTTAGTGGTGATTAACCCCCGAAGGGGAAAACCAAATCCACCAAGTAGCTGGCTTAGGGACTAGTGTGCTGGTAATTCGATTAAATCCCAGTTATTTTATGTATTTATTTCTAGCCAATAAAATCCCAGCTGGCTACCAGTAAAATTGCAGGTGTTAATTTGCAAAATTGTTTTGAATCAGTAGCATGGGGGTGGCCCTCCTGCATGCTTGCTGTTTGAAGACAGGTTGTTGTGTGCTCCAGGCAAGGAGTCCTTGCCACAAGGATATGGTCTGTCTGGTGTCCGTGTTGGCGTGTGTACTCATTCTTCTTCTCCTTTCTTCTCTCTACATTCCCCTTCCCTGCTTCCAGTTATTAAATTCCCTATCCAAAGATCCAGATGCTGACTGCAAATATGGACTCTACTTCAGAGATGGCAAGAGAAAAGTCGACTACATCCTAGTTTATCATTACAAGAAGTCCTCGGCAGGGAAGACGCTCACCAGGAGAGTTCATCACAATGATTCAAGTACCCGAAGCACCAAGCAGGACCAGCCACTTCCCGGGAAAGGAGTGCAGCTGGAAATGGGGGAAAGTGAACCCCATGTGGATTACCACGAAGACGACAAGCGGTTTCGCAGGGAGGAGTATGAAGGGAACCTTGTGGAGGCTGGTCTGGAACTGGAACACGATGAGGATGTAAGGACCCATTTCAAATGGTTAAAGATAAGGAAGATAACTGTTGGTCAAATCCTGGGAGATGCTGAGCTGTTCCTGTGACCCTGGCTCTGATCAAGGTTACACAAGCTCAGCTCTTCCAGAATTTTATTTCAGTTCTGGCAGCACCATCCTTGGCCACCGATTTAATTCACTTCACAGGAATGAGCTGTGGTTAATACCCCAACGAGGTGAAGTTTCTTATTTTTCTTGGCCAGGACTCGTGGCACATGCACTGTTGCAACACGGCTTGTTGATGTGTTGCCCTATCTAGAAATGAGGCTTAAATTGCTCTCAGCCCTAATCCCAGTTTGTGGTTTACAGCTTACTCTGGTTTGGATCTACTGGTAATTCCAGTTCTGATGAAAAATACCTGATACAGAGAGTGACATTGTTATACCTTGGGATAGACTTGAAGAGAATTGAATTTGTTCAGGAGGCTGTGGTACATACTCTAGCTCCAACACACGGATCTGTATTACAGTTTGCTCTTTCCATTCTTAGATACGAACAGTACAGCTTGTAACGCCTTTCACCTGTACTCTGAAAACAGCACATTCTATTAAAAGATCATTAGACCATATAAAAAATGTGTGTGAAGTGCTGCCAGTGTGTGATTAGTAGGAATAGCTGCAGCTATATTCATTTCAGAGAAGGCTATTACAATTAACTGATCCAGCCAATCGGCCTGAAATTCCTGTGAGAGGGGGTAAACACTTATGGTGATTTCATTTACAGCATCTAAAAGTTGTGATTAAACATCTTAGACCTGTGATCAGTGTTAAAAAAATAAATCTGCCCTCTATTATTCACAAATTACAGTCATGTTTATAATGGGGGGATGTGTGTGTGTGTATCTATATAAAAATATATATTTTGCATGGTGTAATGCAAAAAAACTTTTCACTTCTCTGTCCCCCAGGTGAAAATCAGAATTATTTTTCATCCAACTTGCAAGTTATTGTAGTAAACTGGAAGCCTGCCTATGCCAAGTCATAGATTTTAAATCCTTTGCAGGATGGGAGGTCCCACCTGTGGCATGCAGTGCAATTTCAAATTACGCAGAAGGGCTCAGGGTTCAAGCCAGGACACCGTGAAAGAGAGAGAACCCTGTCCTTTCAGGGCAAGATACCAAACCAGATGAGGAATGTATAGAGATGAAGGCAAGCCACTGGGATTTACATCAGCTTCCATACCCGGCACATCAGTGTAGGGGGAGAAACCTGGAATCGTTTGGGCTTGACAGGCATGCCTCAGAGTCGCGTTGGAGGCTGTATTAATTGCAAAACAGAGCAAAGGTTTCTTAAACACATGATGTTTACTAAGTCACTGAAACTCTCTTCAATGAAGAAAATTCTGGGGTGGTTTGGAAGCCGTGCCTTATGGGAAGGCTGGCAGTTCTTTGTGTCCTCTGAGCAACAAACTTCTAGCAAGCCAGTGCAGAATACAGTTGGGTGAAAGCTAGTTAGTGTAGTGACTGCTTGAGTGTGTACAGAAACAAGATCAGAAAGATTCCTTCTCCTCTGTTTGCTGAACACCTACTAGTTTGATGATCAGTTCTCCAATGGCTTTGAAATTATTACTTCCAGGGAGCAAATGGAGGTGTTTGTGGGAGTGCCAGAAGCAAACCCCCATGTCCAGCCATCTCAAACAGAGCTCAGTGAACTAGTGAGGTGCAAGCATGCCACTAATATTATCATGAACTTTTCTCTTTTTTTTTTCCTTTTGTTTTGTTGAATTCTTCCTACCAGTTTTCCCAATTAAAATGTGTAGTGTTTTAATGTAGTTATACATGTCTGTATCTGAGGCTGCTTCTTTCTTACTGCAGTTCTGGTCCTCTGAGATCCTGAGCAGCTCGGAGGAGGCAGCAGGGACTCTCTCCACTCCACTAATTACAACGCACTTACGAAATCATACGATTTGGCTGGATGCCTATGCTTCAAATTTAACGGGCTTAGTCTGTATTTGTGTGCATAGTCATTAGCTTTTATTTCCCAAACAATTTTTATCTGTTTAACCTTGTGGTAATTGTTCTGGAAGACAATAGCACTTTTGAGTCACATTTTCTAGCAGCTCAGCACAGAGAGGTGTTCGGTGATTGTCCTGTTGTTAGAAACTGGCTGTCTCAAACAAATGGGATTTAGCATGTTGGCAGTGATGGACTGTTTGTTCCTTAAATATTTCATTTCCTCTTGTCAGTAACCTTTTCTCTTGTTTTTTTTTTTTTTTTTTCTTAAGACTAAAATCCATGGGGTTGGATTTGTGAAAATACACGCACCATGGAATGTCTTGTGTCGAGAGGCAGAATTCCTTAAGCTCAAGATGCCCACAAAAAAGGTCAGTCCTGATTTTCTTGTTTTCCTCTGGAAGGCATAGTGCAAACACACACTCACCTGTGAGCACCTAACAAAGGTAGACCTTTTTCCCCCACAAGCGTTTTAAAAATAGTTAACTAATCTGTACAGAAAATGAGAGTCACAAACTCACTTGGGACAGCAGAAAGAACAACTGGAAGGAGAAATGGAAATCAAGAATTCCCAGCGGTTACCGCTCTCTGTATGCCATGCGAGTGATTTCATACAATGCCTCATGCTCTCAGTGTGATGATGAAATTTCTGTGTGCATTTTGGAGGGCTTTTCTCACCCAAAATGCTAGACTGCTACAAATTAATTTAAGAGTAACAGTTTGTGTGCAGTAGTCTCGCTGGGTTGAGTGACTCTTCATATACATCGTTCATTGTATTTGCAGGAGTCGGGACTACTCTACTGCAAAATAAATTACCTTTCAGAATATTTGAAATATCATTAAAGAAATGACAGTATATTTTCATCAATTCTAAATCATCCGTGATAGATAGCTACCTGTTCTGTTGAGCATAGCTTAGAGATGGATTAATATTTAAACACATACTAAGTGCATGTCCCAGACGGCAGAGGGAAGTCTATAATGGAGCGAGAGACAGTCTCAAAGCCCAGCATAATTTATTAGCATTATAATACCACACTTTTGGTTTGCATTTCATATTAATCCCCATTATTGCCTCACCACTGATTTTAATCAGGAGCACAATTAGATTAAAAAAGTCCTATTCCTAACAGTTCTCTCTCTCTTATGGATAGCCAAAAAGCACTACGGTTTTCCTCTTTTTCTCTTTGCCCCCTCAGATGTATCAGATCAATCAGACCCATGGTCTTCTGAAAAAGATTAACTCCGTAATTCAAAAAATCACAGAGCCCATCCAGCCAAAAGTAGCAGAACACAAACCTCAGACGGTGAAGCGCCTCTCCTACCCCTTCTCCAGAGAAAAACAGCACCTGTAAGTGAAAGCCTTCTGAAAGTGTTCATGTCAACAGGTTCAAGCCTTCTGATAGCAGCCAAGGCATGAAAAGGTGAAAAGAAAAATGAACACCCACCCACATTGGCTTACTGTTGGGGAATGAGGCTTTGTAGAGCCCCTCTGCTGCTGTTGTGGTACATGATACACATCTATATAACCACTTGCATCAGCTGTGAGACTGCCAAACGTGATTTATGATGTGGTTTTTAATAGTCTTTTTTTCCATATAAAATGTTCAGTAAAATTTGTAGCCAGAGATGTGGCTTGATAAATTTCAGAATAATTTCATTTATGTGGTGTGGGCAGCTCACAACCAGGCGTTGACTTTGGGAATGCTGTGAAGTCCGTGGTAGCTTTGCCATCGATTTCAGATCAGTAAGAATAGCTGTAAACGTGGGTGTAGGAAAAAAAATCACAAGGTGGGGCCCAGCCAAAGTTTCAGCTCCTTTGCTGCTGCTCTTCCTTGGCCAGCATCCCAGAGAAGCTTTGAAGCCTGTGTTTATGTATATGCCAGCTGGAACAAAGAACAGTCCTGGGGCAGGATTTCTTCACTGGACATACAGGGGTTTTTAACCAAGGGATGCAGAACACTGATGGAGTTGTGTATGTTAGTTGGGCCAGTCAATGTATGTGACGTTTGACATGTCCTTGGACTTGCAGGAAGTGTATTTATGTATTTATTTGCTTGTAGGATGTTCCTACAGCAAAGGAGCCTGGTGGCTCAGAGAAAGCCCACAAGATGCTCCTTAGCTTAGGTGGCGATGTGCCTTACACTGTTTGCTGTGGTGGCTTTTTTCACTGTCACCATCTGTGTCTGTCCTGAACAAGGGAGGCAAGAGTGGCCCCACAGGTTTAAGGTACAGACAAAATGGAAAGATTATTGTGAGAAATTCAGGGACAGCAGTGATCGGGAATTCGACTTAAATGAGCATCAACAGTCTCTTTTGGGCAGAAAACCCTAAAAATTTATAAAACCAGTGGAATGTATAAGCGACCTCTTTAAAATATGAGAATTGGGATGGACTTTCTTTTTAATGAGGTTTCTACAAGCTATTCTTTACTGTTAGCTATGAGAGATCCCCAGGGGAAATGAAAATACTGAAGGGGTCCACAAGAGCAGGAAATTACTGGCTTTTTTCTTTAATCTAATGGGCTTCCTTCTACTCTTTTAACAGGTTTGATTTGTCTGACAGAGATTCCTTCTTTGACAGCAAAACGAGAAGCACTATAGTAAGTACTGTATATAAGAAAATCCTGGTGGCTAGTGCCTCAGTCCTGGTGTTAATGGCCCCTTTGCCAGCTTTAGTACAGCGCCTGCTGCCAGTTTGCCTTTCTTAACCAAACGCCAGGGATCACCTGTGACATCAGTTATAGAAATTATAAATAAAGCATTTCCAGCTTTAGCTCATGTACTGTATAGTCTTTGATGCTAACAGGTTGCTGCCTTTTGGAAAATAATTTGGATCTTCTCTCTAATTCATGGTTAATCTGGGGTGTAGTTTCTTAGTAGACGTATCACCAGAAAGGAATAGATTTAGATTTTACCTGCCACCAGCTACCTGCACCCCCTATGGCTCATTTACCTTTTCATAGCAATACATTGCTCTTTTTATAAAATGCTGTGAGGTCTCCCAAAACAAATTTCAATGAAACAGCAAAGTATTTACAGGGAATATTATTTATATTTTTGGGGGGCAATTCTCTAGAATAGTGTTAAATGTGTTGAGGTTTATGATTTTTGTTTAACATGATTTAACATTATTTATGATTTGTATTTAACATTAAAGTTTACATGAAGCAAATACAAAAAGGACAGAAAACTGCATCTTGTTCTGATTGTTTATGCATCTGTTCACCTCTATTACACTAGCAAGTGTGACGTACCAGTGTGCAGCACTGGGACGGGGCTGAGCCATTCCTGCCTTCGTCTTAGAGGGTCTCTACTGCTTCAGTGCCAGCATGGGACTTTTCCTCTCATAATTAAACTTCTGCAGTTCCCTGACAGAAATGAAGCTTAACACAGGAATACGATATCACAAACTACATTTGAGTACCTTCTTTTGACTTACAGACCATAAAATAGAGCAGGGGAGAAGGTGTAGCCTCCTTTATAGCTGCTGAGGCGGGGGGGGCCGGAAAGGACAGCTTTTGTGGCATCGGGGCACGTGGAAGGGACCAGCCAAGCAGCACTTGCTGCAACACTTTTCAGAGTATAATGTGGACTCTTTGCCCCATTCCACTGCGCTAGTCTGTGGGTTGGAATGTGACTGTGAACGGCTTTTATCTTAGATTTAACATTCGCCTTTTGGGATGCTAAGTGGTTTCAAAAAGAGCTTATATGGCAATTATAGCTGCCTTTTATTGCTACGGTGATAAGGGGTGTGAGATATCTAACTTCCCTTTCCTGCTTTGAAATTCCAGCCTGTGGACCCCACGATGTAGTTCCCTTGTAGGTTGAAGTGCAATGATTTGATGTGAGCACAGGTTATCGGGGCTCGGGGAGTTTGACCAGGGAAGGCAGATGCAGCAGCACAAAAAATAGAAAAGAAAAAGATGAACATGGAATGGGTTTATTTGCGATCAAGTATTTAATTTGAGAATGAAAAAAACCATAGCTTTTGTTTGTAGACTTTCTTATATATGTCTAAATAAATAGTAAAAAAACCTTTTTAAGTACAAGAAACTTAAGGGAGCAAATGAAGAGAGAGAATTCATGACGACAGGCTGTCTGAGAAAGGCAGCGAGACAAAATGGCACCATAGGACAAGTGGGTGAGCAAGACTAACTGAAAAATGGACTGAAACAAAAGGAGCTCGTAGCAGAGGCTGGGAGGAAGAGGAGGGAGGGGTTTTTTTTAAACCACTCAAGGAACACTGGGCATATAACAGTAATGCTGGTAGCATCTTGCTTTGTTTGGAATCCCTGCAAATCACCGGGTAATAAAAGACATACTGAATGCTTCCCAGCGTCCTTTTATCCTGCATGCATTTCTCTTTGTATTCTTGTTTCTTAAAGTTCTCTCCTGCCTTTCTCATATGTATTTTTAAACCACAGTGCAAATATTGACCCTTCCGCCTACTGCAAAACGAACAGGAATCTAGTCACTCCCTGGGAGTCTTTGATGAATAGAAACTAAGCCAAAGACCTTTTACTTGATAAAAAAAAAAGCAACCAACAAACACAACCTTATATAACTGGAAATCTCTGTGACAGCCCTTTAACTCACTGCAGTCAGAAGACAACAAGCAGATGAGCTGTGGGTCTTGCCTCATATACCCTCGCTTGCTTTCCTTTGTGAATTGGGCAAGCACCGGCCAAGTTAGCGCACGCAGCAGTGAGCATCCCCGGGAAACTGGTCCATGACTCCCCAGGCAGTGGGCAGCAGGTGTCTCTGCTTGAGGTTTTCCTCTGCTGCCCCCTCCCCTGCCAGCCTCACGCCAGCCAAGAGCCTAGGGGCATCACCGCCCAGGAGTGGCGTGGGGTGAAAGCTGAGCCACTCGGGCATCACGGCGAGACGTGCAAAGGTTATTTGACAATAAACGCAATAAATCGTAAAATAAATACATCCTGTTTGCCGCCAAGGTCATGCAAACTCTGAAATTTTAAGGTCAGCCTGTGTTAGTCCAGTTGTTGATAAACGACTGCGTGCTGCGGATGCGTTATGAGCCTGGAGCTCTGCTGAGGTCCATGGGGTGACACCAGCTGGTGCCATTGGAGGGTGCTGCGGGTGCGTTATGAGCCTGGAGCTCTGCTGAGGACCGTGGGGTGACACCAGCTGGTGCCATTGGAGGTGGGGGAAGAGCTGGCCCAGCCACTGCCTGCTCTGGGTAGCAGAGGGCTTCTGAGCTTTGATCTACCATGATGAAAACAACGTTGCTGTTATGCGAGTGGTTAAATGTAACCCTGTTTCCCCTGATCAATTATCTGGTGCGTTATGAGCCTGGAGCTCTGCTGAGGACCGTGGGGTGACACCAGCTGGTGCCATTGGAGGTGGGGGAAGAGCTGGCCCAGCCACTGCCTGCTCTGGGTAGCAGAGGGCTTCTGAGCTTTGATCTACCATGATGAAAACAACGTTGCTGTTATGCGAGTGGTTAAATGTAACCCTGTTTCCCCTGATCAATTATCTGGGTAGCTGGCTATTTAGTTAAGCATTTCTCTCTCCTACAGATAAGTGAGCATGGAGAGCTGTGAGCCCTGCTCTCCTGAATACCATGACTTTTATTAACAAATGATGACTTCATCGACATCTTGCTTTTGCCAATATTTGAGCTGTACACAAAACGATTGCGCTTTTCATTGGCAGTATCTGAAGTAACCCTTTCCTTTCTTTTGTTTTACTTCTGTAGGTTTATGAAATATTGAAAAGAACGACATGTACCAAAGCAAAATATAGCATGGGTAAGGAACTTTATTTAGTTTCAAGATCAATATAATTTCCAGGTTTTGAAAAATAATTGCAAGTTCTAACTGACTGTGGAGTTTAGGTTTTTCCCCTGCTCTCTAATTTGAGGTATGTGGCTATAATTGTTTTATTTGGAAATTTAATTAATATAACTGTTTGGATTTTTTTTTCAAATGTGAATTTATAGATTCAACTCTAAATGCAGTGGTAAGTGAGCACATAGCCCCTGCAGGTGTTAGCTAGGTCCTTTGCAGCAGGACTGGATGTGATATAAACCAGTGGATAATGTGTGCTCTCCATTGGTTTAGTTTTACACCCCCTGAAGCGGAGGAGGGTATGACCAGGAATTTCGATAACTGCAGTGAAAGTCTATGGCTTGGCCCATTCCTTTCAAGTAGGAACCTCACATTTTTATTGTGGGATAGCTTTTCAGTGACTTGAGTCAAATAGTCTCAACTGATGACTGCCCAAGACACTGTCCTAAGTGGAACTGAGATTAATTCAGTGGAACAGCCAAGGACTAAGGCATGCCCTGAAAGCTGGCCCATCTCGTAGCCCTCAAAGCAGTTGTTGCAGGTCAATGGGTGCGAAGTTTGTACTGCCATGACCAGTAGTTTTAGGATATCGGTCTTAGGGCTTGTGCTGTAAGAAGTGAATTCATAGTACTGGTAAACATGAATTGCAAATCAGGACACCTTAAAGATTTGTTGGCAGCTTTTCCCGTTCGGCTGTTACATACTTTATTTTATACATATGGTGATATATAGGTCTATACTTGACTGTGGGACCAAAGTTAACAAATAGTTAATGGCAAACCAAATGATATAAGGTGGAAGGCTGAATTCCCTCATATCCAAGCTTCTTAACAGACAACCAACAGAAACAAATTTCTATGAGAAAAGTGCATGAACATGGGAAAAAATGTTTAATAACCGGTGGAATCCATTTTTGCATTTATTTGCCTACAAGCAGTTAAATAAAACAATGGGAACTTGAATTACAGGTAGTTCTGTTCAATATTGACCCATCAGCTGCTTGGAAATACATCAAATAATAGAAGAATATTTATGTCAGAAATTACTTCCATGCTTTGACTTTTCTGTTGAGTCCTTATATACACTAAATTTTGGTGTTCGGCCAGTATTAACAGAAGTTCTGTTTCCCTGTAGCATGGGAAATCCAAAATAATCTGTGACTTTCAGGACCCTTTTCGAGTCTGGTGCTGGATCGTTTTCTTTGGAAATTACGTATTTGCACTCTTGAAAGGGGAAGGTCATACAGCTCAGTGTGAATTCTTGCCTTGGAGTCAGTTATGCACTTGGTTTAATTTTTTTCTTTTTTTTTTTTTTTTTCCTGTGGTCTAGAAATGGGAAACACATTAGAGATGAGTTGAATGGGGCAGAGGCTAAAAAAAAAAGTAAAGTTGTAGGATTTCTGGATTGTTCTTCTACCTGAGACTGGCAAGGTCACCCAGTATACCTAATAAAAATGTCATTAGGCCAGCCTGTCCGTGGGTATACTCAGCATAACTCAATCAGGTCCTTTGTGTCCCAGCGCTGGAATGCTGGGCTACAACTCAGCAAAGGTTGCAAACAGATTTGAGCAAATACAGATAATGCTGCAACATTTCCGCCCAGCAGGAAAAAAGGCGGCTGCCCAGTGAACACTGCAGTCTTTGTTATTTATTTTGCAAATTTGTGAAAATATGAATCTGTCTTCATTGTGAAATGCTGATATGTAGAAGGGTACCGTGTAGCTCTTCGGTCGGTCACACAGCCTTAGAAAAATAATTTATCTGCTCACTAGTTATTTCTGCCAGAAGCATGGAAACATTTGCAGACAATTCATAGTACTGTATAATCTTAACTAGGACTTTAAAAATTAATGATACTGCAGGATACTGAGCACTCCTGGAGCAGTTCCTCCAGCAGGTGATTAGTATCTTAAAAATGTTAATGAACTGAAGAAATTCTCATTTCAAGAACAATCAAAAATGTCTCAGTGAACCTACAGTGAGCTGTTGCCTGGTTCATAGTCACTGTTCTCTCAAATCCAGTCCCACACTCTTTTCTTAGCAATGAACTGACAGGCAACATGGAGCACACTGTAACACATCATTTTTCTTTTCTTTTTCAAAGTCCTTTTAAATTCTCCACGATACCAGTGGCCAGATTTTTTGTTATTATTTATTATTGGCATTAATCAGCTTAGCCTTGCACAAAGCCAAGTACTTGACTTAGCTCTGATTCAGCACCAGAACTGGTTCATTGACTCCCCAAATGTATCTTCACGGCTAACACGACACCTTCAGGCATGGGTAATACTCCATAATTGGAAGTGTCTGTATTAATGCCAGCAGCTGCAGCAAGAACATTAACGAAGTAATGTGCTGCAGCCCTCAAAGGTCCAGGTCCAGCCCAGTGACCTTTGGGAATGGTGCAGCAAGCTGCAGTGTCCAAAAGCCCCTCGCCGTTGTGCTCCTCCAAATTTACACATTGACTCCTCCTGACCCACCCCAAGTTAAGGAGCGATACCATCCCTGGGAAGGCAGCACTCCTCAAAGTCCCTTGTGCCACATACATTTTATAGATGAAGCATTAATTGCTTTCAGCATCATGCATGTCACTAATAAACGGATGTGTAAACAGGGAAAGGAGAGGGAAGAAAGAAGGAAACTACCCTTTTAAATAAAAGACGAAAATGTGGTAAATATGGTAAGTATTACGCCAAGGTCTTCGCAGAGGCTTTCACTACAATTTCTCTAATCAATCTGAAATCTGAATTCAAAACTTTGTGTGGATGATGCGTGCGTATGCGTGTTCCCGTATGCCATCAATTCCAGCCATATTCTTCTTGCGATCGAGCCTTCTGCTACACACTTTCGAATCTGCAGGCTTGCCCTTAAATCAGTCTGACTTCTCAGAAAATGTACTTCATTTTAATGACTAATTTCAAGTCATTGGCTTCTAATTCTTGATTCTCAAATATATATGATCTTCCTCTTGCTCTCTGCAGTTTTCCATTTCATAAAATGATTCATGTTTAATAACCTATATGATTAAAAATGAAACTACATGGAAAGGAATGAGATGGCAGAAAAATCATTATCTGATCAAATGACTGGTATTTTGAGGGAAATCTCCAGGAAGGATGATAAAGTGAGAATGTCTAACCGCAAAATTGTAAATAACTATTATGTCTTTATTTTTCAAGGGATCACCAGTCTGCTTGCCAATGGAGTTTACAGTGCTGCATATCCTCTGCATGATGTAAGTGATCTTGGAAAATATTTTACATGTCTGCTATCTGACACCAAGCAATCCATAGTGTGTTACGTATGAATGGCATCATCCCAAACGCGAGTGTTTCGGATCCTGGCTTCCTGCTCACTTGTATCATGACTGCAGTAACTTCTGCAGGTTGTTTCCATCATTCTGCTCACTTTTTATGAATTCCCCACCTCTGTTCTACCTTTGGTGATCCTAAGTGATGTTTTAATGTAACACGAGAAGAGCTGTTTTGGTGGCTTAGCAAACTAAATGCTTCCGTTATTTTCTGATCTTCTGCTCCTGAGGTTACTGGTTTCAGTGCTAGGAAATATATTTATTCCTGGGGCACCAGGTGCCTACTTCCCTCATCCACATCTCCCTGGCATCCCGCTTGCAAGTATGGAGATGTCAGTAGCTGTGTGTCCGTGTGATTGGTTGCCATTGGAGGAAAAACCATAAGCCAGAATTGGAAGTGACATATTTCATGGGACTGGATGTGACTGCAGACCTTCTCACTGATGCAGTCTGCTTTGGGGCAGTTCAGTAGGATGGCAAGAGTGTGTTCAACTGCAGTGTTCATTGAGAGAGGTCAGGAATTCTGGTGACACTCACACCGGAGCTGGGATCCCCATCCTCCCAGAGGCGCACAGCAGATGGATGCTGATGGTGTTTGTACGTAGAGGTTCCAGGTACGCCTAGAACTGACGAACACACGCTCTTAGCTAGACCCTTCCAGAAAGGCTTGATGGGTGTCAAGGGGACGTGGCAGTCGTGCTGCTCCTGATGTGCCGGCTGTATGAGCATGCAAGGGCTGTCGAGCCTGGTGCTGGTTTTCTGGCATGGGATGTAAAGATGAAGTATGCCTTCCTAGTTTTCTGCTCACCTCACTCACACTGGTCTTACATGAGAGCGTGAATGTTTTATCTCGGTGTAACTGAGACCAGAACAGCCTGATGTTTATCGTAAATGTCCAGCACTCTTAAACTACAGCAGTATCGCCTAGAAATCCAAAAAGGTTAAATAAACTTCTCTGCATGTACTTGTCTCACGTTTTTAGACAGCTACTGATAGTCTTGTGTATAAGTTATTTGTTGTCTTAGTTTACTTCTTTATCCTGTTTTAAAATAGCTCCAAATTAAAACCTCAAATCTAATCAGCCCCGAGTGTTTGGAGAGTCTGGATAGGGATCAGCGCTTTCAGCTGGGCTCTCCTCTTTCAAGTGGACTGAGCTGAACCCCAAATACCATGGCAATACCGCATCCTTTCCCTTGACATTTTTAGGCCACCTTTATCACTTACTCATTCCTTTTTCTCCACTGACAGACATTATTACTCTTCCTTAATGTGCCTGATGACAGAAGATGAAGTGTGCTATGACAAATGAACTCCTAAAATACAGCATTATTTTACAGATTGCTTTTTCTGTTTTTGATGCATTAAGTGAGTGGGATCCATGGGTATGCAAGATGCATAGCAGCTCTGGGCACAAATCCCTGAATGACGCAGATTTTCTTATTCTTTTTTTTTTTTTTTTTTTTTTTTTTTTTTTCTCTCCCAGGGTGACTATGAAGGTGAAAATGTGGAACCTAATGACAGAAAAGTAAGTTGATTTAAAGGGGGTTTAACATATTCGGAGGAGTCACAGGCTGAAGAGTCACCTGTTGGAATCTGGGCGTTTCCCAAGATTTCACAGAAAATACTGCAAAAAGACACTAAATGCCGAGCAGTAGAAGTAGAAATTTGCCTGAATGTGGAATGCAGTATGGATATGTATAAATTACCAAGCTCGATAATACGTTTCTTGCCATGTTGGTAAGAATATTGACAGCATTTATGTATGGATGATCACATCAGATGATGTGATTTCAGGGCAGCTCTGATAAGAATATGCTCAGTCATACCCTGGTACCCGTATCTGATATAAATCCTGCTGCACTCCACAGCGAGCTCTGGTCTCAGCACCGTAACCTCTGTGGAATTAATGTGCTGCTGATCTGGGGTGTGAGGATCAGAGTGGGAGGGTGGGGAGGGAGGCAATTGGAAACACAAGCAGAAAAGTTATTGGGAAAGATGAGGATTCAATATTTCTCAGAAAGGAGACATTCTCAGCAAAGCTTTAATGTGTGCTGTTCAGCCAGCGACTGGTGTGTGGAGGGATACTGATGCATTGCATCACTTTTCACATAAGTCTGTGGTTTAAATGGTGATTTTGTCATCTGTATACTGAAATACGTTTGTTCATTGTAGTAAAATGAGTAGGAATTATTCTAAGGAAATAAGAAAAAGCAAATTTTTCACCCTTTGGAGAACTGTTGATTTCTTAAATTCAGAGTGCAAGTACCACATAGATCGCACTTCTCTGCAGAAGACAGGAAGCTTCTCCATGAGTCAAGACAAAAACTGGAGCAGAGAGGTTACAACCAGTTCTCTCAGGAGGAGCTACTAAATTTGGGTGCCGTACGTTGGGCTTTCAGACTTGAAACTTTCCCTTTCCAGATGGTTTCATGGTCACGTATCCAAAGAAGCGCTGTGGACCAGTGAGGGCTCGGGTCGTAGGAAAAGCAGAACGAAAGCCTTCCAAGTTGGTCATATAAAAATAGGTTCCCAAATTTAAAGTTCTGCTGGGTCTTAAGGTGCAAATGGCTCATCAAAAGACAGTGACTGTTATTTTTCCCCCTCCATTGGTTTGTGTTAAAAATACCACATACCTGTCATTGCATTATTAAGCAACACGTTGCTCAACCAAAAATAGGATGAAAGTCCATGTTTTCTCCAACCGTCTAGATTGTCATCTTTATTGCTAACTTTTCAAACCTCCCAAATTCACTCCTTTCACAAGTTCACTGGGTGTTTGGAAATGTTGACCTTGGCTTTTGACTTCCAGTTCCCTCAAATTATCTCTTGGTGTGTTTTGGCACGGTTCTTCTGGTTTCTTGAAGCTTTCTTTAATCTAATCCAGTGCTAGGCCAGGCTTGTGCCTTTTTTTAACAACAAAATTAAAGATTTGAGGCATGGAAATTAAGTAAATATTTAGGGCTAGTGCGCTGATCTCCTCTAATCATGTCTTTGAAGCTGTGCTTTGAATAGCAGGCTGATAAATGTCAGGATAAATGAGATAATTCACTTGTACTTCAGGCACAAATTTGCAGCACTCTACAAAACTGAACCGTGGTGCTGATGCAAAATCTCCTTAGTTTAGTATTTTCCTGCTATGCCTGACCAGCTTAGATCACAGAAAGGGAATCTAATTTCCAGGACAAACTTAGCTTGTAAAAATGAAATTAAAATAAATAAATAAAAGGAAGGGTCTTAGCTAGTGCATATGAATGTTGAGGTGTTCTGAGTCATTAATTGTTTCCCAGATATCAGCAGCTGGCCTTAAACATTTGGAAATGTGGTTGAAAGAGACCTAAAGCAGAATAAAAGCAGAATTTGCAGGGGTGTTGCTATTTAATAAAGGCTTGTCTTTAGGCTTCAGGTTCTGCTCTTACTAGTGTAAGGAAACTAATAAAGATTAATGATTTGGGGTTGCAGAGGGGAATTTCTGTAAAAGTGAAGAAGTTGTATTTTTTTTAATGACTTGAACCATTTGCATGAGAAGTACAGCAGTCCAGCTTGGAAAGTTGGTGTTAATGATTTGGCAAGAGAATGGCAGAACTGCTCTGGAAGCGCTGCTCACTGTAGGACTTCTCTGTGCTAATGTGTGAGAAGTAGGAACGGGCAGGGGCAGCGGCGGGACTGCCAGTCTGCCCTTCCTTGCCTTGCGCCATTTCACTGGAGAAATGCAGGAGGCTGACATCTGTCAAATTTCTCCCAAATTTCTCCCAAACATCCTGTTTGGTCTGTTCTTCTCTGAACAAGACTAATGATGTTGCCCTCCCAGTAACGATAACTGGTTTAGCTCTTGGTTCCCCATGGCAGCTTCTTCCACAGCTGAGCTGGGTGTGCCGCCTTCACCCATCGATGGAGGTTTGTGTAACTGAGCTTTGACATTTTATACTTTTTTTTAATATTTTTTACCCAGTGTTCAATTAAAAGAAATACCTTGGCAGTGATCAGCTCATGCTCTTACATTTGAGAGAGCAATAGAAGAGGAAAAAGGAAAAAGATGATGATGTTGCCAGATGAATTAATGACAACAGAAGTGACCATCAAAACATCTCCTTGAAATATCAGGAATTTGTCCAGGAACATCCTGCCACCAAGTTCATGTCACTGAGTCAAAGCAGGGGCAAAAGCAGCAAAGGGAGACCTGACTTCAGAAGCAGATGTAAAGCTTCTCTTCCCCTTTTTGCACAAGTGGCCAGTGAGCACACTTTGTCTTCTCCAGTATTTTTTGTACACACACTGATTTCTGTTCACTCTCATAGCTGAACTGATTTAAGAAAAAAATCAGATCCGAGAAGTGCTATTTTTATATTTTACGAAGTAAGGGGTAAGTTGAAGGTCTCAAATGAAACTGGTTTTTTGAGGGATTCAATTTTATAAATTACTAATGGGGATCATTGCTTTCCTTGGCCTGAATCCTGACCAGAAGGATGAGTGGAAATCATTGTCTTCTTGTAGTTTAAAGCTGAAAAACTCTTAAATGCAGCCTTTGAGGCACCTCCACACAGCACCTCTTGATGGATGCTGAATATTATAATCTGTATAGAGAAAACAGTTTGTTCTATTTTTTTCTGTCTTGTAAGCCCAAGCATATCCATCTTTTGCATCCATTCTTCTAGATTTCTCCTACAGATTATAAAATCAAGACTACTCTCCCCATCCCTGCTATAGTTATCCATCAGTCCTGTCACTGAAGAGCCTTTTAATGTACTAGAATTCATCACTGGATTATAGCATGCCAAATCATCAAATTGGTTTTTAATACTTCATGCAGGCGGGCGTGTATTGGCAGATGATGTGTTGAAACCACAAAAGTGGTGAGACCGGATCCACAACGTGAGCTCCACAGTTTGCTGTGACCAGAGGAGGAGATGCTCATGTGCGCGGTGCTTTAGCTTCTGCCTTGTCTTTGTTTTACAGCTCCTGTGCGAGGAGTGGGCGAGCTACGGGGTCTTTTATAAATATCAACCGATTGACCTGGTGAGGTGAGAGTTCAGCCCTTAACGTTGTGTTTCCACAGTGTTGAAGCTGTGCACGGCGGTGCTTGTGCTGGTGTCCCTGCATGGATGCTGCCCGCGGTGCCACCCTGGGGGACTCCAGAGAATGGGAAGTTCACGGGGGGAAAAGGAGTTTTCTGTAGGTTTAGAAGCACGCTGAGGTATCCCACTGTGTGAAAGCTTGCAGGGAACATATTTTTAATGAATTTTGTTTGCTTATGGTGAGAGCTGAGACTCTCTAGGGAAAATCAGGTGCTTTTTAAAGAGGATTAGCTCACAGGAGATCCAAAGACACCAATTCACGCAGCAGAAACGCAAGGGGGGGAAAAATGACTAGTTGGAGTGACTTGCTTTCATGGTGCCTGTATCTCTGGATTAACTCCAAGCATCATGAGAAAAAGAGTCATCTGAGAAGAAAAAAATTCCCACAGGTCATCAGATATTACTTTCTTCATGCTTAATCCAGCTGCGATTCATAATTTTAGCCATGTTATATTTTAAGAAATAGAAAACATTTCTCTCTCTCATTTATTTTCTTTAATGTATTTCAGAAAATACTTTGGAGAGAAGATTGGACTATATTTTGCCTGGCTGGGAGTTTATACACAAATGCTTATTCCAGCTTCGATTGTCGGGATTATCGTTTTCCTGTATGGCTGTGCAACTGTGGATGAGAATATACCAAGGTAAAACAAATAAATAGATTCTGTTATTGGAGACCACTAGGCACTCGAAGTTACCTTTCTCTAGAAATATTTTGTTACTAATTTCTCCCTCGTCTCACCCCACACGCTTCATCTTTCAGAAGCTGTGCTATAAATGCGGACACATCCGCAGGGATGGGGGAACTTGCAGTCCCGCTGATTGCTGCTTCCAGTAAGCGACGGAGCGCTACCGAGGGCTGAGAGTGGGCAGCAGAACTGCGGCGCATTGTTAAATCGTTAGCATTTATTGTTAATCTTACTTGTGGAGTTTGCATTGATGTACTAAAAATAATTCTTGGCCAGTTGCTCAGGTGTTGGGTTTTTTCCTAACTCAGATCATTATGTTAAAACAAACCGACAGAATACTGCTAATGACAGGATTTAGTGCTTCCCAGCACAGAATGCTGAGGAGGGCATTGTGTGACATAAAGATGAATGAAGAATATACATGCTTAATATAAACAAGTGTGGTCAGATTACCAAAATCTTGATGTCCTACTATTTTTAAATTTTTAAATAAGTTTTGTATTATAATATTTTTAAAGGCATATGATTTTGCATTATTTGCCCTGCATGCATCATCAGCTGTGGGTGAAAATTACATCGTTTATACAACAAGCATGAGCACTGAGTAACAAAGCAGATAACGGATATCAAAAAATAGATATTTTTCTTTTATTCGTTAAGATTGCTTTGTACTGCTTCCAACAGTGGAAGAAACTCAAAGGGGACTGTCACTGTTTCTATTTCACAGATGGAGTGCAGAGAAGTTAAATTTGTTGAACTCCAGTCTCTGGATACTCAGCGCTTCCTTTGTACCTTATCTGTTACTGTAGTTAGTATTTCAAAGAAGATTTTTTTTTTTTTTTACTTTAAGATTCTATAGTAAAAAGCCTAGAGCTACTGGGAGGTTAGTATCTGGTGGTCCTGCAGACCAGAAACAGATGCTGTGCAGAGGAGAAAAGGTCACTGGAGCATGGAAGATGGACCTGTACTGACCGTGATTTTTTTCATATCTTGTTTCTTTGTTGCAGTATGGAAATGTGTGACCAGAGAAACAACATCACCATGTGTCCCCTATGTGACAGAACATGCAGCTACTGGAAGATGAGCTCCGCTTGTGCAACTGCTCGCGCAAGTCATCTGTTCGATAACCCTGCAACTGTCTTCTTCTCAGTCTTCATGGCTCTCTGGGGTAAGAAGATATATGCCTTCATGTTAAGTTTTTAATTATTTAAAATACAACAGGAAGAATCAGAAGAGATAAAGCAGTGTGTTTGTACTCAGGCAGTTAATTATATAAAGAACTTATCTTCTTTTTTTTCTTTCCATGAAACTGTCACCCCCAAATTTATATTCTGGACTGAAGGTTAAAATTCAAAAAGTTGCTCAAGATGAATATCAAATGAAATTGTTAAGCATCTGTCATAAAACTGCTGTGTGGTATGTCAAAATTTCATTAACGGGATTGCACAGCTTGCCAAAAAAAAAAAAAAAAAATCTATTTGCAGCGCCAGCTTCCACTTTAGAACATTACAGAAGAAATGTATTAATGTACTCTGGGGTCGTGGGGAGGGCTCCGCAGGGAAGTGTAATGGCCTTTAGCATCTCAGGACAAACCAAGATTGATTCTTGAGTGTGCTCCGAGATGCAATTAAGTTTATCAGCAGACAGACATCATGCATGTAGACCATGAAGCAGGAGCAGTGGCGTTAGAGGTATTTTTTCTGATGCTGGCTGCTCCTGGACTTTGAGGACATCACTTAGCCTTTTGGTGATGACATTTTTCCTAATATCCAATCTGAACCTCCCCTGGTGCAACTTGAGGCTATTTCTTCTCATTGTATCACTTGTTACTCGGGAGAAGAGACCAACATCCACCTGGCTACAGCCTCCTTTCAGGCAGCAATAAGGTCTTCCCTCAGCCTCCTTTCCTCCAGGATAAACCACCCCAGCTCCCTCAGCTGCTCCTCATCGGACCTGTGCTCCAGACCCTTCACCAGCTTCGTTGTTCTTCTTTGGACACACTTCAGCCCCTCCCTGTCTTTCTTGTAGTGAGGGACCCAGAACTGAACATGGTATTCGAGGTGCAGCCTCACCAGGGGGACGATCACTGCCCTGGTCCTGCTGGCCACACGATTTCTGATACAAGCCAGGATGCTGTTGGCCTTCTCGGCCACCTGGGCACACTGCCGGCTCATATTCAGCCAACTGTCAACCAACACCCCCAGGTTCTTTTCTGGTGGGCGGCTTTCCAGCCACTCTTCCCCAGGCCTGCAGCATTGCATGGGGTTGTTGTGACCCAAGTGCAGGACCTGGCACTGAGCCTTGCTGAACCTCATACAGTTGGCCTCAGCCCATCGATCCAGATGCATGGACCATGGCCCAGTGCTGTTTGGTATTAAATGGCATTAAAAATGTCCGAGAAGGCAGATAAGAGCATCTGGACACTAATCTTTGGGAATTTTTAAGCTCCACTTATGCTTATGGGCCCAGATGAAATATGAAGATGCAGGTACGCTTGGCAATGAGGTGGTGCATCACTACCTGGCACGTTCACCGAGGGCTTTTGAAATCAGCTGGCTGTGTTTCAGACGCAGTCTTTTCATTTTGCGTTGTTGTAAGTCAGTGCCATGGAAGGATTTCTAGTAGCACTAATAAACGACGTCTTGTTCATTTTCTGTATTTCTTGCTGTACGTGCAAGCTGCAGACCCCGGCACAAGAACTGCTGGTGACAGGGAGGGGGGAGGCAATGCCAGGACCGTGACACAGGCTCTCTTAAGACCCAGCTATGGCCATCCCCATTTACAGGAAGCCTATGGCTTGTCAAAGGGCTCAGCTGTAAGTTTTACATGTGGGTTTTTTGCTTGGAAGGCGAATGAATGTCATGATCGTAGCCTTGTCCCAGCCACGAGGGTGTCCTTTCCTCCCTGTTCAACTTTCTTGCCCTCTCCCTGCCTCCATTTTTTCTGGATATGAACGTTTCTGAGCACATCTGTTAATACTCACTGCGGGAAGCTCCCCTGGGAACACCATTTCTTGGTAAACTCGCCTCTTTCACAATCACTTATTTATTATACAACACTGGTGTATTCCCAGCATCTAAATATGTCCTCTGAGAACTTGCTCGGTCTCAGAGATGGATCGACTGATATAGACCGGGATCATTCATTGGGACTCAAGAATTATTTTAATGAGATTTCTTTTCTGTAGGTCTTCTCCAACAAAAAGAAAATGGCAGTGTTTCTAATGATAAAAACCCATAAAGGCTTCCTCTTTAACAGTTTTCCCACTGCCATGGGTATTTGGTGTTGGGTGTGATGACTAGAGCTAACCTTACTGTTACGACCACTAGGTGGTTGTAATTATAAAAATATAAAAATGCTTTATCTTGATATCTTTGAGGAAATAACTCTACCATCAGTACAAGGCTAGTTAAATCGTTTGTATTTTTTATAAGATAAAACGGAGGTTTATGTGGGCTTCTGGATGGAATTATATGCCGAAGAAGACCAACAATATCATTAGTCACACATTTAAATAAGGTTGGGTTTCTTGCACCCCTTAAAAAATTGTAGGCATTTTTTCTCCATGAAGCTGTGGATGTAATAAATGCCCTTCCTTTCAGCTTGCTGGGATAAAAAGCTTGGCTCCTAGCCCTGTTAATCAGTATTTCCCAGACGTTACTCTTGAATAAAAGAGTACCAAAAATGAAGTTAACCCAGCCTGGTATATGATACGCTATTGTACATGCTGAGACCTTTTGGAGGTGAGAGCCTGCCGACGTACAGCAGGCGATGCGGAGCGTGGCCAGCGCATCTCCTAAAACCCCAGAGGCTGATGTGTTTTTTTTTTTTTTTCTTATAAAATGTCAAAATGATTGTTAAAACTGTCGTTTCAGCTGCCACCTTTATGGAACACTGGAAGAGAAAACAGATGCGTCTCAACTACAGGTGGGACCTGACTGGGTTTGAAGAGGAGGAGGTTTGTCCCTTCAGTTCTGACTTTTTGGCTTCCACCCTGGTGTTACCGATAGCTCCTTGCCCCCAGCCTGTAGACGTTGCCTCATGGGGAACTGCTCTGGGGGTGGTTCCGTCATTTAGAAGAAAGGAAAATCCTGTGCATGAACTATTTGAGGTTTTTATAGCAAGAGTATGACTAGTAAGTCTTGTTGCCATAGAAATGTAATTGTATAGCCACAAAATCTACTCTTTTTTTCAAAGTGTGTAGCCAGGTCACACCTAGCAGCGTAGGCGTGGAATGTGCAGCTCAGACGTTACTCCTGGGCTCGTGTCAGGGTGGTAACAACCGAGGACCTCGTTCATCTCACGCTGCTGTAAATCAGAAATGAATGTATTGAAGCTGATAAAGTTACAGCACTTTAAAAAAGCACTGAAAAATTCCTATTAACTTTAACGATACAGGATCAAGCCCTGATTTGGAAAATACCGCAGAAAATATTGCCAGACATGTGGGCTTGGGGCACTGGGAGGGACACAAGTGTAGAGGTGGGGTTTTTCTTTTTTTTTTTCATTTGCTAAAAAAAAATGAATATCCCTAGCCAGGTTTACAGTAGATGAGCTAAACGGCACGAAAGGGAAAAGGGCTGCATCTGTATGAGAAAAGCTCTTAAAAATCAATGAAACTCTGGAAGGAAAGGAGGGAAAATCCTCAGCCAGCTGAGAAGCTGTATCCCACCTTTTTGTTTTTAATTTTGTCACTTTACAAAAAAGAAAACCACCTTCCTAGACCCTAACGCAGTCCCAGTCCCGGCAGCAGTGCCCTGGACTGTACAGCAGCTCCGAGGTGGCAGGGGCGCGCGGGTCCCTTCCATTTTCCCATCGTATGTGACAATCGGTGCCATGAAAACCCCACTGCGAGATCCAAGCTAGGACCCACGGGTTGTAGGGGCGTTCGCTGCTTTGTTTACTGTCCAGCTGGCTTTTTTTTTTTTTTTACTGTAGTTATTATTAAAAGAAGCATGACCGCCCTTGCCGTATCACTAGATGTTCTAAATAGATACACAACAAATATTGCTCACATGAAACAAAAACCTCCCCAGCCCGGGGTTTAACACTATGCAGCTTGATGAGCCTAGCACAGTTATATTTCCCCTCACCCCCAAAACCTTTCTGCTTGAATTATCTCCTCTTTGATATGTTTATCTCCTCCATAACGCATCTAGGTGCACTATGCCGTGCACTTCGCTAGATATACCTGTTTTACTGGGAAGAGAATATAAGGATTTCTTTCCTGGATACTGTACTGCTCTTTTATTTTTGGTAACTTGTTGTTAGCATACATGAAAGTAGGAAGGATTAACTGTATCTTTCCAATGTCGATCGCCTTTATGTCGAGTTCAGAGCTGTACCCAGCTAAACCAGCAGCTGTTAGTAAAGTGTATTTTATTCTTTGTTTTGTAGAGTCAACTCCCGATAGATGGGTTTAGCAAAGAATTTAAGCCCCTCCTATTTCTGTTCTGGGTGAAACTTAAGCTAGTGTTGTGTTAAAGAGCTGGAGTTTCAAGTGATATGCTGAAACCCAAAGTGTCTCATCTTCTGGTGTTTTTAGGGACACCCAGTTCACACAATACTTACAGTTGGTTCAGAGATGTTGTAGAAGATGAGTAGACTGATTTTCTCTGGTAGTGTCTAGCCATCCACTGTACCTGTTTGTTTCATGTAATTTTTAAAATATAAATCCAATATGATCTGCAACAGTTCAGTAATCAAATTTTTGTTTTTGTTTTTGTTTTTTTCTTGTTTTTTTATGTTTTTTATGGTTTCCTGAAGGAGGCAGTCAAGGTTTGGAAAACATTTTTTTTTAATTGCTCCTACCTTTTTTATTACATATCTACTGATGAATATCATCTTGTGATCTCCACCTCTTCTTTTTCGAGCATCAGATTTCCTTTAGATCTCCCTCTGATTGCTTTGCCCTTACACCCTCCCCTTCTCCACTTGTTCAGACTTTTTTCCAACTCCATTCTGTTTCCCATCCGATGCATCACTGAATTCTGAATCTTTTGTCAGTGCGTAGTTACCATGAATTCTGAATCCATGAATCTTTCGGAATCTTTTGGCTGTCTCTCATTTCTGTTTCCTGCACCCTCTCCATCAATGCACAGGGGTGATCAGTGGATGCTGTCCAGGACAGGATTAGGGGAAGACCCCAACTGATGATTTTCTGGGATTCCAAAGCCAAGTATTTTGCATACTGACAGCAGATAACTGATTCCCTCGTGAGCTGAGGATCACTGAAATTACAGTTAATGACATGTAAAATCTAATTTAATCTAATACATGTTATGCTGTCTCCTCTTCTGTATTAAATTTAATCTACACAGTGTTGCACGTGGGTGTCTGATAGCGATTGCAGATCATTCTGCAGTTGCTCCTGTAGAACTGTGAATGATACAAGCTTTAACTTTTTTTTAATTACAGTCGACTATCAGTTGACATGAATGACATACTGAGTGACAGTATTTAGTTAGAAAACCTGGAATTGATCAGGAAATGGACCTACAAACAGTTCATATGTAGCTGATAGAGAAAATAAATAATTTTGGTTTATTATTAAATGCGATTTATTTCACAGGATCATCCAAGAGCAGAATACGAAGCGAAAGTTTTAGAAAAATCACTGAGAAAAGAACACAAACAGAAAGAGGTATGGTAAAAATATCCATTTGTGTCACTTATGAAACACTTTGAAAAAGAAGGTCATTATAGCAAGCACTGACCCAAGACTAAGAAATAGGTAAAAAACAGAGTCACTGCACATCATTGTGTTTAAATTCCTGAGGTCTTCGGTCCTAGCATACATGGGGTACTCTGTGTATGCCAGTGCACAAGACCTGATTAAGTCTAGAAGTGTCTTTAATAATTAGATACGGGGATATGGCTTAGGGAAGCTAATTAAGCCCAATGGAAAGGGTGCTCCTGTTGGGCTAACGAATCAAGTCTGAGAAAACTGTAACACAACATCTTAGTCTGTGCTAGTGTAAGTACCTAAAGCCTCTCAGGAGAGGCTCTCTGTCTTGCTAGACTTTTTTTTTTTTTTTGTAAATAAAAGTATTAATAGAGCATTAATGAAGAGTACTAACACCCATTTCCTTGCTGAGTTCCAGCTTCCATAATAACTTTCTGCCTTTTAAAACTATAACTTCCCTTTTATGCCACTGACCAAGGTAGCGCTCACTTCTGCTTTGAACTCGCTCTTTCCATCCCCATGACAAAGGTGCTGCCAGTCATCCCAGGGGCATCTGCATCCCACCAGTGGCTGGTGCAATCCCTGCGAGCAGCTTCCCTGTCCTTTCGCTGAAGGCTGTAACCCCTTCCCTGTTAGTGTCTGTCCACAGCAGATCGATTTGGAAAAGCTCCTTTTCTCCCCCACTTACTGGTTCCCACCCTGCCAGAGGTTATTCCCCCTGAAGTGCAAGAATCCAGCTGTTTGTATGACAGTGTTTTTAGGCAGAGAAGTAAATGCTCCAGCATAAACAAAATCTGTCGGCAGAAATTCCTCTTTTGTGTCTGTTGCCAGTGGCACTGTAGCATGGAACCATGCCCTAAACTGGGATTTTATGGAAAAACCCTATGAAAATACAACTGCAGTAACCACGTTAACATTAAATACGCTTTAAGAGACAGCGTATGTAGGTTGAACTGGCATTAAACTAAATGTGTCTGATTTTGTCATGTGCTTGTACTTGAGTATCATTGGGTCCCTCTTAAAAGATGCCACAAAGCTGTCGGCGGGATGTTCCCGTTAATCTATAGGATGCGGTGCATAAGCAGCTCACCTTACTGGCAGCACCGCTTTAAAATCCTCTGCAGGAGAAAGAATTTGGGTTGCTGCCCTCTTCTGTGCTGGATAAACAATGTTTAAATACAGACTTTGTTGTATTCTGCTAAAAACCTGTGACTCACTGTACTTTTGGGTATATTGGGCATTCAGATCTTCAATGTGGAAGACTATAGGGTAATCGGACAATTAATGGATGGTGGCTTCAAAATATCGGAGTATGAAGGCTGAGCATTGAAGAAAAGAATTTTTTTTTTTTTTTAACCAGACTATTTATAACTTTTGGGGCTGTGCTCCGTTTGGATGTTACTAATTTGGGAAACGTGAGAAAAGGAGTTTTTTCGGGAAGACTCTGTAATTATCTTTCATTGGGATCTAGAGTGTTAAAAGTTCAAATTCAACAGTTGTAAGACAACTTGGAAATCTTCTTAAAGAAAAAATATCTAAAGCTAAACCAGAAATGGCTTGTAGTTTTTCAAGAGAAGTCAATTTAAAAATATATATATTTTTTAAAGGGAAAACTTTTTGGATATTCTTTATAAAGGAAGAAGAAGGGCACAATCCTAAATAAAAAAGGGAATGTCCTTTGAAGGATTGCTTGATCTACCCCAGGATTTGGGGCAAGAGTTTGTCTTTTTGTTGTTGCTGTTGTTATGTTTATTAACCTGAAGCTGAAGCACAAAACCTCGAGCAGACTAATAGAGCATTCACTTGTGGCTAAATCGCTATGTATGCTGAGTCAGTAGAGAGTATATAGATTAATTGATCAGTGCTGTGTAATGCTATATTGCCCGATCCTTTTTTTTTCTCCCTTTGACTGCCATCAGAAGCATCGATATTTTCCAGAAGAGACAGCAAACAAATGGAGACAAAGAGTTAAGACAGTCATGGCTGGGGTGAAATTGGTTCTTTTTATTCAAACTTATGAAGGAACTCAAATTATGAGTAATTATGGAAGACACAAATCAATTTGGTTTTGGCTGTTGGAACCTTTGTTTTAATATTCACCTTCAGTTCTGGGTTTCTTCCCCCTCCTCCCCTTGTTTCTTCAGCACTCTTTGGGACAGTTTCTGTGCACTGGGAATGGCACTGCATGGCTAATCTTAGCTTTACCGCCCCGGACTGACGTTCCGTTTTGCCGTGAGCATGGGCCGTGTGTTGGAAGAGTTGCTTGCACTTCCCCGAGACAACGTGCATGTCATAAAAATAGCATTGGAGTAGTATTTTTTAATGTTCATTACAACGTGTGTGTCATCCTCCATCATGTTCCTTTCGTTGTGAATTTTCTGGTGTTTAGAAACAATTCCTGGCATTGAAGTTTATGAAAGACTCTAGATGAGTGATACTGTTCTAAACGACATTTTCGTACCCAAATTCAGGCCGTTGACTGGATTTAGGGTATCCTATAGTTATCATACATGTGCATCTTAGCTCCTGTTGGTGTGGTCCGTTGAATACCACGGGGATACTCAGGTTGTTAGAAATCACTCCTCTTGAAGGAATTTCAAGTCTCATCACACACCAAAAACAAGATCTCCCCTGTAAACCGTGCGTTCATCTTGGAGTTCCCAGTAGCATCCTCAATCTGTATTTCAGTGGAACCAGTTGTGGAATATTAACTGGGAAGGGAGAGAGGAAGAAGGAGAATTTTTCTGGGGAAAGCAAAAGAAAATATTTAAGAGTAAGAGAGGTCTTACTTCATGGGTTATGACAGCCTATTTGCACGTTTCCTTCCAAAAGTATACAGAAAAATCGGGTTTATTTATAGTCGCAGTGTAGGCACTTGACCGATTGGAAGCTGGATATGGAGTAAACAATTTGCCTGTGTGGAATTGTAACTGTAAACACTGTGTCTGCATCTCCTAACCCGCTGTGTATTTGCTCGCCTTCTCTTCCCCCTCTCTGTTTTTGTCACGTGCAAAATCACACACTCCGACTTTATTAAATGTTCCCTTTTTTCCCCCTCAAATTTTAGACAGAAAAGCTGACATGGAAGGATCGTTTTCCAGCCTATTTTACCAATTTTGTTGGCATTATCTTCATGGTAAGCATCACCCAGCAAAAGCTGAAATTTTATGTTACCGAGTCATTGTCCAGAGCAGGAGTGATGGGAACGTTCGTGAAACTCTGACAAGCTTTAGCAAATTGATGTGGTGCACAGTGGCTTTTCCCCAGTGAAAAAATTCAAGCACTTTTTGGTTTTACAATCTCAAATCTGTTCAAGAGCTTGAATTTCTACTTTGCCATCTCTTTCCAGTAAAGAAATAAGAATATCTAAATAGGGTGGGGGGAAAATGAGGGCACGGGAGTGGAAATTACCACCACCACTGATGGTAAAAAATGTAAAAAGTGGAGAGAGTCCTCTCAGAAGGTCACGAAATAGAGAAGAGCCTCATTTTTATACCAGTTTTTTTTGAAAGAAATGATGTGGTGAATTGGAATCCTGATTGCAAAGATTTTTAATAAACCAGTCAACTTTGGGCTTACACCATATAACAGGAGAATTGCAAACAGAGCACTTAATTCATGAAAAAGGTAAAATAGTGATGAGAACAGCCTTTTCCATTTGCTGATAAAGCATCAGCATTTAAAACACATTTTGGAGGAAATAATAATAAATCAAGACATGGAACAGATTGACAGATGCACAAAAAGGCTTAAGCCCTTTCCAAAGGCAGAATATGCCAAACTAACTCAGTTGATTTGGTTTTTTTTGGGATAGGGATGCTGTTTTGGTTTGGGGGTTTTTTTAATTGTTGTATTTTCAGAGAATAGAAATGCAGTGACTCTAATCTTCCCAGCTGAAGAATTGGTACCTTATAAGAATCAAGTTTTAAAATTGTTTCTCTATTTAAGCAATGAAAAACTAAGATTTTGTGCACCTTTACATTGCCAGGAAGTGTGTTGAATTTCAATTGAATTTCAGTTTGGGGTTATGACAGCACAGCGAGCCTGAGCGAGGTATTTGAAGGCTTGAGTGCAGATTTAAGCTGAAATACTCCTCTCTGCTTCAACCGTGCCTTTTTTTTAGTAATTTATAATTTTTTATAGTAAAGCAAATACTGTATATATATGCTGTTGCTGTTAAGGCTGAAAGGAAGCCCACCAATATTTTGAATATAAGTAAGTAGTTTACATTTAGATGTCTTAAAAAAAAAAAAAAGGCTTTTGCAGGTGATAGTGACATCTTTATATCAGTTTTTCCATATGACGATCAAATTACTAGCAAAAGAGGATCTTTTCCCATGGTTCATCAAAGCAACTGGGAGCCTTAATGCAGAATTTGGTGGACTTGAGGCATGGCCCAGGGATCCCATTTTTAAGGTCATTGCTAAGTCCCACCCAAAGTGTTTATAGTTAAATCTTTCCTAAGATGCTGTGCTTTTCTCCCTTGCAGGTTGGGCTGACGTTCGCCATAGTCTTTGGAGTCATCATATACCGGATCTCCACGGCAGCAGCGCTGGCAATCAGTTCAACGCCCTCGGGCCGCTCAAGCGTTAGGGTCACCGTCACTGCCACCGCGGTCATCATCAACTTGGTCGTCATCATCATCCTGGATGAAGTGTACGGCTGCATCGCAAGGTGGCTAACTCAGATCGGTAGGTTCACATCCTTGACTGATAGTTGCTAGAGGGATTTGAAATGAGAGGGACCCAAGGGACTGGTTTTTATCATTAACTTCAAAGTGGTGAGCAAGCCCAGGAAATACAAATGTGTGGCTAAAATTCTAACCAGCTACTTACAAATATCAAAGCGCACATGGATTTGGCTTTATTTTTAAAGTTTTTCTTTCAGCCACAGTAGTGCTAACCTCTAAACAGTTATGGGTGGTGGGGGTACAGCAGAAATTCCTATACCTAATCTTGAGCATCACTCTCCTATATCATGCAATTGCTGTTTTCATTTTCTGCCATTTTTTAATTGGCATAAGACATATTGAGAAATGCAACATTGTTGAGTGTAAAAAAAAAAACAGTAGGAAGAAATTTTTTTGAATCATTTCCAAAGAGCACCGGTGACAAAAAGTCCAGAAATCTTTTCAGGTAAGTTCTTGTCCACCTGCGCATGATTGTCATGGAAGCCAGCCAGATGTGGAATGAAGCTGGAATTACTGTTGTAACACATCTGACAGTGAGATCCTCAGCAGATTGACCACTGACCTCAGTGAGACCATATTGCTTTAATATGTATATGTATATATTGTTATAAATGTATACCTCTTTGTTTAAAAGATGGGTGATGTTTTCTAAAGTCCATGTTTTATAAGATCATTAAATGTTCCTTAATGTTTCTTATCCGTCTCACGTTGGTTCCAGAGGTGCCAAAAACTGACAAGAATTTTGAAGAGCGGCTGATTTTTAAGGCTTTCATGTCAATGCCTACACGCCCATTTTCTACGTTGCTTTCTTCAAAGGCCGGTGAGTAGCACAGAAGGCTGTTGAGGGTTCCAGCTTGTTGCTTATGAAAGATCTGTAGCTGAGCTAAGACCATAGTAGGACGATAAAGTAAATCTTGTTTAAAAACTCCTCTGTATTGACCCAAAAAATTCTGCAGCCTCGTGGGATAAAGCAGGGGCCTGGTACTCTGCTGTTTCAAATTTATGAAAGCCATTTTGTTAGGATAACTTTATGTTCAGATACAATCCCCCATCAGGCTATTTACCCTTGTCTATTTACCACTCTTGATATCATAGCAAGTATCATATCTCTTCTGGCAACCAGCATGAAAGCACAAGGCTAAAATAAATATTCCATGTGGCATGTTCCAGCTAATGCAACAGAAAGGAGGACTGCCTTAGAGGATTTCTGCCAAGGTGTACCTATAATATTGTAGGACACGGGACTTGCACTTTTACTGAGTTGTTTACTCAGTAAGCAGGACTTACTCGTTAAAACAAAACCAAAGATAATTCTTCTTATTCACTTTTTCAGAACTAAGCATATTAGGTGGTCCCACTCAAAGGCAGAGTCTGACATAAATGACCTTAGGAACTAAATATAAAAAGTATAAGATACATATGAAGTTTGTAATTCTAACCATTGTGCCCTAGATTTGTTGGACGTCCAGGAGACTACGTCTACATTTTCCACAAAAAAAGAGGTAATTGCATTTCGCTGGGATCGCGTTAGGTGGGAGCACCACCTGCCCCCGCCACAGGGATGGAGCAGGTGATGTTCTGACCGATGTTTCCTCTGTCCACCCTAGTGTGCTCCGGGCGGTTGCCTGATGGAGTTGTGCATCCAGCTCAGTATCATCATGTTGGGCAAGCAGCTGATTCAGAACAATTTATTTGAGATTGGCATCCCGTAAGTAACAACATTTGGGGTTTTTGGGTTTGTTTGGTTTGGTTTGGTTTTTTTTTTTTTTTTTTTATGATACATGCACTACACTGTGTATCCACTGTCCCTTGATGTGAATGGGGTTCGTAGGTTACCTGCAAGATTTTTGCAGTAAGCTTGCATCTGCTGTATTGCAAATACCTGCATCCTTGCTGCAACTGCATCCAGCAATGCCGGTGTCTTGTTTCCATTTCCCCCAGAAAAATGAAGAAATTTATACGATATATGAAATTAAAGCGCCGGCAAACTTTAGACCATGAAGAGCACATGAAAAAAAAGCAGCGTTATGAAGTGGACTACAACCTGGAGCCTTTCGCTGGACTCACCCCTGAATATATGGAAATGAGTGAGTGAGGTGGAAAGAAGGCGTTTGAAACCATCACTATGATTCTGTTCATGAGCCCTTACTTTAGCACTATATTTTAGATATTTTCTTTCAAGCCATGTGACATGTCATTGTCAAGTTTCAAATGCAAATGATTCAGTGGCATGAACTTGAGATTGCGAGGCATATTTTATCATTGGTTGCACCCTACATTGGAAATCAATTACTGAATTCGGATGGGATAATTTCCACTGCGCGTTCTCACACCAGATTGTTTCTGTTCTCAGAAATCTGGGCTAAACCTTCTGAGAGACATATGTGCCTGTAAACCAGGTCATATTTGACAGATCACATGTAATTTTTTTTTTCAAGTAATGTATTAAGTTGAGTCAGTGATAAGGAATTTAACCACTGGCTATCAGGTCTACCTTGCCCTGGCCGTACATTTCTTTTCCTACTTTTTGATCTTGGAAAGGCTGAGAACTGTTTGGCATCATGCTGTTTGCTACAGAATCAGATATTCCTGAAGGATCTGTCTTAAAATTTGTTTAGTATTTTAAGGAATGACTGACCACAGCCACTGAAATGGTTCCTTTTTCTTTTACAGTTATTCAGTTTGGGTTTGTAACGTTGTTTGTTGCATCCTTCCCACTGGCGCCTTTGTTTGCGTTGTTGAACAACATCATTGAAATCCGTCTAGATGCAAAAAAATTTGTGACTGAGCTGAGGAGACCGGTAGCAGTCAGAGCAAAGGATATAGGTAAGTGCACGTTGCTATTGTTATCCCTGGTTGTTTATTCCTGGATTGATGGCAGGATATTATCATGCTGAGGTAGGTTCATTAACAGGAAGATATCTATAGGAAAATTCAAAACATTAGGCTGTGCCTTAGCTGTGAACTGTCAGAACTTATTGAAGCTTCACTTTTAAAATAGCAAGGCCGGTGCTTTAAATTCAGATTAATATTTTATTGAGTAAACAGTATCACTTTTCAAATCAAAACGATCAATACAATAGTGAAATATCTCGCATGGCTCTGCACATCAGCAGTTCTTCCTGGCACCACAGTTTTCTTGCAGAAGCAAAAATTCCTGCATTTAATAACTCTGGACTGGGCTGGAGAAATACACCTGGGAATGAGAGGAGACTCAGAAGTCTGTGGGTAAACACATCCCTTCGTCCTTCTCAGGATGAGGGTTGGAAGGGTGAAGCTTGAACGTTGCAGTGAACCGAGCTGGACCTGGGCTCTGGGGCTGTACGGTGACGACAGACCAGTCCTCCCTTTACTGCAGGGGGCTGACAGCGATGGGCAGATGTCATCACACCACTGCTTTCAGAGACCTCCCAAAGTCGGAGGCTGTGAAACGGCCACAGCCAAACCAGATGAGTTTTTAGGGCAGGCGGCAGCAGAACCGGGAAAGGGAGAAGGTCCCACCTGCTAAGGGACTTCATGCATCATCCTCAGACTAAATCCAGAGGGACTGACCCGAGTGAGGATGGGGTTGGTTGGTATCACATTTTGAATGCACAGAGGCCACGCTGAGGAAACCCGTGTCTGTATGGCTTCCAGATGCAAATGGAAAAATCCCATCAAGTGGCTCCACTGGAGTTTTGCTTTCTCGAAACTGAGGTAGGATAAATAGTGAGGAGAAGGTGTAGAAACAGATCCTTAGAACTGATAGACTAGGACGTTCTCCACCACGTGTGTGGAGGTTCCAGCTCCCTATCTGTAGCTTTCTTTTTTGTCCTCAAGCATTTCAGAAGCTTGAATGAAATTTCATGTTTTTCTTTTCTACCTACGCCAGCATTCTATTGCCCTCCTCTTCCTGAAAGAAGCTTTTAGCTTAAAACCTCAAAAAAATAGGTGTCTAAAAATAGCTTTGGAAGACAGAGTTGGTCTCACATTGCTTAAAGGTCATTAAATTAATCTCATTTTTTTTTTTTTAATTTAAAATATAACTGTAGTTTGGCACAGTCATAAGTACTCCTAACACTGTTAACTAAAATTGTAATTTTTCTAATTTTAATGACTGGGACAGCACTTACATATCTGTCTTCTTCCTTAGGAATCTGGTATAATATCCTCAGAGGTATTGGAAAGCTTGCTGTCATAATAAATGTAAGTAATTCAGCATGAATAACATTTGAGATCAATAGGCTGGCTTTTCCATTCTGCTCCATTAGTTTTATTTCAGCATAAATCCCTTAAAATCGAGTGAAAGCTTATGATTTAGAAATTTTCTGAAATACTAGAGAACCGGACGCAGTGTTTATTTTAAAAGTTGCGACAGTAGCAGCAATAATATAAAATATTAAGTAGTCGCTGCAGCTTTTTTCCAGAATGGTTTCATAAAACAGTTTTGCCCTTCAAACAAATCAGAGCTGCTTACTTTTGCTCTTTTGAAATACTATCACTAAGATGATGTATTTTTTTAATTTCAGTGCTAAAACGTATTTGGGGTCAGGTAGTTAACTGGCCGTGAATGAGAGCACAGTGTCCCTCCAGTGAAAATCTGCATTGCTCTCACTCCCAGAGCTCTGAAAATCCATGAAAATATTTGTTCACTTCATCGGTGAACATCGCAGCCCTTAGAAAATTTTAGCACAACTTAATATATTCATTTATGTACTTATCGAATATTCTGTATGAATAGACAGCCACAATGATCATCTTCATTGCACTCTACCTGGGGAAAGATTAAGAGAAAGCTGAATGACAAGCTGAAAACATGTTTGCAGTGCAGCAAAATAGCAGCTGTGTGGGGTTCATGGCCACGTGTCCATGGGCCCTCTCGTTTTCTCACCGTTGTCCGGACAGGAGATCCCTTTGCTTTGCCCACAGGTGCCTCTTGTGCTGTGGCCAAACCATTCTTTTGGTTATTTAGAATGCTGCCTTAATTTGTCTTTACCATTTCTCCTCTTTTCCTTTGGAAATAATTTCTCTATTTTTTTTTTCCTCTTTTCTTCGATGTAGTCTTTCTTTGTCATTATCCAGTGTTATTTTTCCCTCTTTGATCTATGTACTATCCCTCTTTATCATAAAATAAGTAAAGCATTTCGTACTCTGTGTGTTCTACATGTACATGAGATTTGTGCCACTGAGAATGTTTCATAATGATGATAAATGAGAAAGGCTAAAGTTAGGAAGAACTCAGATGAATTGGCTGTCTCGCATTTTCGGTATGACATTTTTAGAAAACCTTCTTAAATAACCAAATAAAAGGCAATTTTTGTGACCCTAAAAATAAAACTGAGCTCAGCCTGCTCATCCTTTTCTCTTGATGGAGTTAAAACCCACATACAATTAACGGCCTTTTGCAACGCAATGAGAATGTAAAGAGTCTATTCACTGTCAGTTGTGTGCAGAACAAAAAACTCCTTGGAAATCCATCAGCTGGACCTTACACAATGCATCAGGGCCAAGCTGTGACCGGGGGACGGGGAAGCAGCCCCCTGCTTTGCTCTCCTCTGGTGCTGGGGGGTACGGCCGCATTGTTCTCTGGGGAGCCCAAGTTGTTATCCACGTGGAAATCTCAGTCGGTGTGGAACTGCTGCATCTGATATTCTGCAACTCAGAGGAGTAAGCAGTAAATACGACCTTGGTGCAGCAGGGAATTCTCCATTTTTAGGGCCTCGTGGGCTGCAGTCTCCCCCCTTGTTTTCTGAAGCAGCCCCTGAGTTGCGTGAGTTGTTTGGGCAGGATGTTCTCGAGCGTATGAATAACGTAACCGCTGCCTGAATATTGCGCTCACTCTTTGCTCTTATGGCTTAGGCATTTGTGATCTCATTCACATCCGACTTCATTCCACGCCTCGTGTACCTGTATATGTACAGTGAGAATGGCACCATGCATGGCTTCGTGAACCATACACTATCCTCTTTTAATGTCAGCGATTTTCAAGCAGGAACAGCTCCAAACGACCCCATGGATCTTGGCTACGAGGTTCAGATATGCAGGTACTCTCTGGAATAACTAATTTAAAGTCTTTTCACAGCTGACTAAGAATGGGACAAATTTTTACCTTCCTGGGGCAGGTCCCTTGTATTTTCCCACCTTTTTAGTGCCTTGGTGGCCTTTTATATCAGATAGATCCCTTGCCTTGAACATCCTGGCTTACATTTTAAACCACCTTCAAACCTGACTATGAAGTACTGCTCATTCTGGGAAACAGAGATGAGTGTTGTTCGTCCATGCAAAGATTTTTTTTTATAATTATGTATTCCCTTTTTCAGGAAAGGAGATAAATAATGATAAACAGCACAATGATGCTCTAAGGGAACAAAATGTAGAGATGAGCGTTGTTCGTCTATGCAAAGATTTTTTCCCTTTTTCAGGAAAGGAGATAAATAATGATAAACAGCACAATGATGCTCTAAGGGAACAAAATGTTTTTATTCTGATGTCATGATGTTGTATCACATGCTGTTGATGTAATGACCATGACTTCACACCTCGCTTTTTTTGTAGTAATTCCTGATGAGAGTAATAGCATCCTTATCTGTACTAGAACTTAAGACCCACTTCAAGCGTCATCATACAGAAGCTCTGCATGCCTGTAACAATTTCTAGATATTCTTTTCATTTTTAAAGGAAAATTATTGTTACGAAGCAATCTAGGTCAGTGCTGAACTGCATGCTTTGCCTAGACTTCTTTAGATATCCATCATCTTCAAAACAAATGTTTTAACGCTTAGAACTGGGGACCAAAGCCAAATGTAACAGGGAGAGCACTTAGACCAGCAAAACTGAAAGGGGGGAATGGAGTAAGAAGGGGAAGAGGAGAACAAGGAAGAAAGCAACATTCCAGGGGAGGGGGAAGAAAAAAAAGAGAGATGACTTTGGTATATATACACTCAAAAATTAAACAAACTGACCAGGAAAAAACCCTCCTTTGTAATTGTATTATTTTAAAATTGATATTCTTTATAAATTTGAGTAGTGCAGGTTAATTGACGAAATGACAGCTGAACAGAAAAATCACTCTGAGGTGAAAGAAAAACCCAACCACAATTGCATTTGTATGAGCTTTGCTTGCTTTGACTGTCTCCTGGCTTCCTTCTGGTGACCTTTGGGCACAGGATAAATGAGGTTGGCAAACATGTTTTTAGCACAGACCTTACAGAACAGAGGTGTTCAGTCTCAGGGTCCACTACAAAAATGCCAGGTTTACTTGCTTTCAAGTCACAGCCTCTTTCTTCTTCCCATCTCAACATTTCTTCCATATTCCAAGGATTTTTAAATCATTTGAAAATGCGGAACCCTAATTCTTTCAAAATATTGACAGGATGCTGCGGGTGTAAATTGAATGTATTTTTCTTGGTCCCATTTCTAACAAGTTACTGTGGATTAGCTCAGAGGTTTTCTGTAAGCCATAACCAAGGCCAAATTCTCATCTCTCTATACAGTGAAATTTAGCTGCAACCTTTTGCTAATCATGAACAAGAACACCACATAGTGTACCACACTCTAAGGACCTGAGTTCATGATTTTTGTCTTTAAAATTAGTCTGAAAAATATATGTTTGGGGTTTTTTTACCAGTCTTAAGATAAATTGTCTGAGCTGTGTAGTGTACTCCGTCTTTATGCAGAATTGATATTATTTGTACTAATCAGAGGGGATTAAGACTGAAGACCTTTAATTTTGAGTAAAACTTGAAGGCTGAGGGAGGCTTTCAGCTGTGTCACGTTTCTGAGAGGTTCATACAGCATCATGATGCCATAGTGAACTTGCTTTTAGATGGTTCACTTTACTGTTGGACTCTTTGGTATTAATGGTGCTAATATTTCTGAATGGCATGACTGATTTACTGCGTCTTGTTTTGCAGATACAAAGATTATCGAGAACCCCCCTGGTCCGAAAACAAGTATGATATTTCAAAGGATTTCTGGGCTGTCCTAGCAGCAAGATTAGCATTTGTGATAGTTTTCCAGGTAGGTTATGCTGCAGGCACTTTATATATGAAAAAGAAAGAGCTTTGGAAATAAGCTATTCGGCCAAAGAAAATATCATTTGAAAATATATTTGATGCAGAAGCAACTTAATGACCTTGGTGAGCAGCAAAGCACGAGGCTGATACTAACGAGGTCCCATCAGTTTCTCCAGTAGGACATCAACAGATTCACTGAAGCAGCATACATTTCATCCAAAATCATTTCTAGACCTAGCTAAGAAATTAAATTTCCAAAATTTTCACGGTTAAACTCACATCCAAACAAGAAGGTAAAAATCTTGTAAATTTTCACTAAGTTATATTATTCAATCGCAACAGTGATGCTGGTTGTTGTGACACGAGTGTTTTAAGTCTGCCTAATCTAAACAACTTGTTTCAAAACTTCTGTTCCTTTTTTTTTTCCTTTGGACCAAATATGTATCTTTCTGTGAAAGCCCTGATTTTCATTGAATCAAAGTTTATAAATCAGAAACATTTCATTGGAATGTATTTTACCCACTTTCATCATTTTACCTCTTGCTACTTGCTTCTTCCTTTCTGATGTAAAACATTTATCAATGGCAGTATTTCCCTTGGATTTCAAAGTGGCCGTGGCAGTATTTGTACATAAATCGTAAAGATCTGTGCCTGCCATTTTTCTCTACCTCTAGCATGAACAAGAAGTTGAGGCGAGTTTGGCTCAGTATCAGACTTGCGCCAGGCAGTTGAGCCCAGCTCCAGTATTGTCCTTTCTTCATCCCTCCTTCCTTAGCACACCAAAAACCGTCCCTCCCCCTTTCATTTGACCTTGCTGACATCTTCTCACCATTTCGTTTTCAGAACTTGGTCATGTTTATGAGTGACTTTGTTGACTGGATTATCCCAGACATTCCCAAGGACATTAGTCAGCAGATTCATAAAGAGAAAGTTCTCATGGTGGAAGTCTTCATGAGAGAAGAGCAAGGAAAGCTGCAAATGCTAGAAACCTGGAAGGACAAGGACAGGAAAAAAGGTGAAAACTGTAACAATCACAGCCCCAGACTCTCCAGGAGCCACAGTGGGAGCTTGTCCTCCTGCCATTCGTACCCTCTGGACATATAGAAGAGGAGGGAGCTGAGTATGTCGGGGCATTCCACTGATAAGCCATCGCGGAAAGGGCAGGACTCGGTTAACGGACAACCTGGTGCATGTTGAAGGATGTGCTGCCATTTTGCTCCCATCTTTGTGAGAAATGCTCTTCTTACAAACATGGAGGACCACGTTCTATTTCTGATAATGTTGGGCTTTTTTTCTTTTTGCACAAGCAGTAATGCAGGGAATTTTTATATTTCATCGAGAGATAACACTATGGACGGTGGTGTGCATTAATAAATGCAGGTACTTAGTACGTCTTGATAGAGATATTCTCTGAAAATCTGACCTTAGCCTATTAATTAACTAACTACATAAAGGTAAATTTTAAGTAATAATACTACTAATTTAAAATATTTTTGGAACCCCAGGCTTGAGGGTCTGTGGGGTAACTAGATAATGTATATGCAACATCAGCTTTCGATTGTGCCCTAGTATTCCTTTTGGCAGGAGACAAACCACGCAAAGCCGACCAGACTGCCGTGCTTTCCAAGAGAGGGTTTACCTCTGCCGGCAGACATCCCTGTGTGAACCTGCAGCTCTAAACCAAGCCGAGCTTTAGAGTCACCCAGGCGCGTGGGGCATTTGTGGCAATCTGCTGTGTACCCGAGACCTTCACCGGGGCACTGCTCTCTTCAGAAACATCAGAAAAGGCAATCTGGAAATGTTCTTTTTTTTTTTTTTTTTCTTTTACCAATGAACGGCTGATGTGGATGAAGCTACCTCAGTGCCCCCGGCTGTGGCGGAGCCGTGCCCCAGCGGCTCCTCGCTCATGGCCAGGCAGCAGCAGCACAATTTTGGAGATCCTTCCAGCAGGTAGATGATCCCAGAGCATTTTGTGAAATGCCCTGAATTAACGAGCACACGTAGAGCTACCGTGACTCCCACTGCCCTGCCCAGTACTCGGGGACTGTTGTTGCTGAGGAAATTCCCTTTTTCCCATTGTTTTAGCACATCCCGTTCTTAGCCGGGTTTTTCTCTGTAGCCCTCTATCCTCTGCAGGAGAAAAGAGTCTGCACCTGATTTTCACAGCCAGTTCCCCCCGCAGCCTTTCTGCTGTGGAATGGCATTTCCCAGAGGCTGTCCTGGAGAGGAAATCCAAACCACGTCCCACCTCCAGTCCTCAATGGAGGTTTTGCCTGCGCTGGGGCTACAGGACCAGACCTTCAGTTAGTTACAGGACTTTTCTTTTGTCTTAAAATACTCTTTTGTACAAGGAGCTTCCTTAAAGTATAAATCTAAAATCCTTACTTACAAAGCCTAGCTAAGTCCCATCAGTACGGCTCTTCTGAAGCATAGTGAATTTTAGTTTTGCTTTGTCGAAGGATAAACTGCACTTCCAAATAATCTTGGTGCAATTAACCTCATTTCTTTTATCGCTTTGTCTTGTCCATGGCACTTGCGTTACGAATATAAAACTGAAGAAGAAAATAAAAGATTTCTTTAAAGTCTAACTACTGTATGGTTTGTTACAAAACCAAACGTCAGACTGTTTTCAAGAGAAGTTAGTTGTTTCTTTTTCCTTTTCTTTTTTTTTCTTTGCCAAACTAATTTAAAGATTAATGCTAGAACTTTAAAAAAATGCCATATTTAGCTTTTGATATATTTATTTGTTTTAAAATATGTGATAACTTGATATTTTTTCTGTAGTCTGTCCAAAGAAGGTACCAGAAAAGAAATTATGTGGAAGAAAGAAAATGGTATTAACCAAATATTCTTGAAGCTTATTTAAAATATTGATCCAACCAAAGATTTTTATTAATAAAGGGCTTATATTTTGTTAACTCTTGTTTCTGTTGTATTTTGACTTGCAGGAATGTCACTATTTTTAAAATTTGTAACTTATGATAGCTTACTACTGTAGGGCCAAATCCTGCCTGATTTATTCACTCAATAAGCATTACGTCTGGTAGTAAGTGTTTACCAGCTCAGGCCCACTGACTGCAATAGGACTGTGAGTGTGAATAGATCAAGCAGAATTCTGTCCGTACATCTTGTTGAAAAAGTGTTCTTCCTCTCATTCCTTGGTAGCCCAAAAGTTCCAGGAGAAAGCCAAACATGAACTACCTAGTCTGAAGAGAAATCCTTCCTCGAAGGGAATTTTATCTGTAAATACTTGTCCGAAAGTATTCCCAACTTAATACTGACATTCCTGTAAATGGTAGAACTATATCCTGAACACATACTTATCAGAATTTTTCATTATTTGCTGCAATCATGAAATTGTAACAGTTGCTTATACTTTCTTTTGTACAGTAAATCGTTTGAAATGGAATTTTGTATATAAAAAAACTGTATTACTACTTAGATAACTATAAAACTCTTTCACGGAATCATTTTTTAAGAAAAGCAAATATATACTAAATCTGTTTTAGTTTTTTTTTTTTTTCTTTGAACATTTATTTGAAATAAACTTAAATATGCAAGAGTTTCTCCTGTGGGACAGGTTCTGTTCCCAATCCTCCTTGTGCTGTGAGCGTGCAACCACAAGTGCTGTCAGATTTGAGCCATACTGGTGTTACAGTTGGCCTGAAACTGGATCTGCGATGTCCTTCCCAGTGCTCCTTGTGTCCGCAGGCAGCAGGGGCCAGAACTGAGACGTGTTTGCTGGTGTTGACCACTTCATTTATGGACATCTTCCTAATGGTGTAGCAGGTAAATCTTGTGTTCAGCTGCTTTAGATACCCACTTTGAGACGTCTGCGCCATAGACACTGAATATAAAGTGACAGATCATATCCTGGGAACTTTAATTTTCTTCCAGCTTTAGTCTTGGGCATTGAGCAGAACGTAAGGTGTAAGAGCTTTCACTAGGACATTTGAAATGGGCTCGTAGTGCGGAAGAATGCTATTTGGTTTGTTCATTTAAATTGAATAATGTATTAATTATTAAGAAAAAAAAAGGTAAAACTAAAGGAGTTAAACTCAGGGATTCCTTTGACTGTGTCTGGCTGAATGCAGCTTTGAAGGGAAGCAGCTCAGGAAGCAGGAAGGCTGCAGTGTGTATATCACGGTTTTATTGCCTCGTGGGACCTGTACAAGCAAAGCTGGGCTCAGAACCCGACTTGCCATTTCCATTTTTTTTTTCTCCTGCTCCCATTTAACTGTTCTGTGACAAAGTAAGGCGTGAGGCTTTGTACCAATTCTCCCTTTCTAGACAGAAAATATTAGTGCTGTAACTAATGAAATTTAGTCAGAAGGTGGGAATTCTGTTCTGAGATAATGGATATGAAAACCAGCAGCAGGTAAATCGCTGCCTAGTTGGTAACTGGTTTGGTTTTGTCAGTTCTTAAAGGCAAAACCGTAGATACGAGCTCATTAGATACAAGAGAATGTCTTCCAGAAAGATATTTGCACTGTGCTTGTGGTACTTTTCATGAAAGGTTGGGGTTTTTTTTTTCATATTTGTGATGCAAGTAGAAACAAGTTTGGTTTTTACCAGTAGCAAATTTGAGGCAGGATTATGCTACTAAGGATTCACTGGAAGAGGGAAAAAAAAAAAGTTAATAGAAGCAGGGATGTGGAAGCGAGCAAGAAATAACGGAAAATACCTCCCTGTGACTCACAGCTGCCATCCGGGGCAGGTTTGACACAGGACAGCAATATTTGTATGTGTACAAATACAGCTGAATTCTCTATTGATTTATCTCCACCATGTGCATCCAACCTGTTCTTGGCATGCTTCTGCCACAAAATGTGAAATCTCCATTTCCCAGCCTTGCTTTGATCAAAGGGCAGGAAAAAAAAAAAAAGCCCAAACCCAATGTATCAATGTCTTAAACAGGAAAATCATTATAGTGGTTTACTGAGTCCAAGAGCAAACGCAGACAATGGCAGGAAAGATGACAGCTGGCAGGGGCTGCGTAAACCATCTTTGAACCATTGCTCAAACGCGCCATTTGCTTTGTGCTACCCAACGTTTGTGGCAAAGCCACATGGTGCATCTGAGGAGGAAACCGTACCCACCCCGTTGTGTTGACAGCACGAGTCTGAATCTTCTGGATTTCTATGTCATTGTGTTTCTAAGATACTGTCTTACAAATATTTTGCAGTCTTAAATAGCTCAAGGGTGAATAAGTCTCCAATCAAGGCACAGATACATTTCTATTTTTAAACCCTGCGCGCTGGCTGGTCCTGAGCTGTTAATGATCTGTTTGGCTGCCGTGATTTCCAATCAGTGATAATAAAACAATTCACTTTTCATCTTGTTACCTCAGCAGTCTGAACTCTCCTGAAGTTCCGTACATGCCTTCAGTCCATTTATATTTTCCTATGAAGTTTTCAGAGTAAACAACTCTTTCCTTTTGCCCTGGAAGAAACCGTGTCTTAAAATTTATATGGATTCCATTCAAACTCTGGTTCAATTCTTTTCACGTTTGAGTACTATTTATTCCATGGCCAAACACCATAGGCCATTTTTAGTACAGCAGAGAAAAACCAACGTTCCTTTTTTAACCTCCTTCTTTTTTTAGCCCAAGACTGAGCATTGCTTATTGAATGGTTTCTTCCACTTCTAATAAAAAATTGTGACACTTTATGGTACTTTTAGAACCCAGAGCATCAGCTAAAACCAAAATATATTGATGCAGGTGAGTTGCACGAGCCTGAAAGAGTTCTGCATGCTGTTGTGCTAGTTTTCAGGAGGTAGGAAAGGGCTCAGAAAAATCAAAGGCGTGACACAGTCATGTGAACTCAGTGACAGAAGTTTGAAGGTTTTGAGGTCATAGCTTTCATCTTGCTTGGTACACCTGCGTGAGAACATTCATGCCAAAAACGGGCAATGTGTCTATGCTCATAAGAAAAAGATTCAAAACACAAAATATTTAGAAAAGTGCTTGTGGTGAACAAACTTAAAAGTGTAACAAAGTCCGTTTTTCAGAGCAAGAGTTCAAGGCAGGTAGTTAAGTTGTGTTTCTCACAGCAGAAGAAAAGGTTACTCCCTGTTTTTATTTCTAAATGAAAAAAAGAGGGGCCATCTTCTCCAGATGAAATACAAGAGATGGAGGAAGAAAAGGCTTTTGACTGACGCTCTTGGATCCAGGTTAGCTGGTAGATCGGCCATGGAGGTTGTTTTTCTGGGAAGAGAATCACTTCCTAAGGCAAGGCCATCTTGTAGGTAGGTTCTGAGGAGCCTTTGCCAACGGTTTGGTAGTGATGTGCAACCTCCTCCTGCCCAGTGGTGCGATACTGTTATCTTGTGTTGAGATGAAAGCTGGAAGGCTTTGGTCCTTT